GACAGGGCAGGATGTGGGTGCTGTTCAGAGGGGCGGAAGGGAGAAGGCCCAGGGGGGCCTTTCAAGTTGCAGCACACCTGCTGTCCGTCTCCCTGGGAGATGGGACTTTCTGTTCTCCTCTCCTCCTCTACAGGAAGTGGTCAAGAAGGAGGAGAAGTCAGGGTCTGGACAGTCGCCCACACAAGGAGCCCCCAAGAAAGAAGACGCTGCCAAGTCAGGCAAGGGGAGTAAGTGTGAGGCGCTCTCGGGCCCCTTCCCTGCGGGGAGGGCGCGCTGGGCTGGATGCGAGGGCAGTTCTTGGCCTGGACGTGTCTGCCAGGACTTGGTCTTGCCTCTCTCCCTCTCTCTTTTTCCTTCTCACAGCAGGGTGATGTGGGGGGCTCCATGGCCCAGACATCATGACAGCTCATTTCTTTGGGGCTGGACCTTTGAGGACCTGTCCTCAGCAAAGGACTCTACCCACCTAAGGGGCCCCTTCCGGCTGCCTTGATTGCACCCAAAGTTCTGATAGTGGGCCTCACTTGGTCCACCCTTTGGGGAGCGGGTGGTATCAGGGATCTGCTTTGTGCAGCCTCGCTCCTTCTCTGGCCCAGAGGTCACCATCCCTGAGCAGAAGCAAAGCAAGGGGAAAGGGACCAAGCTGGGGAGCAAGGAGAAGCGCAGCATTCTTCTGGAGTCCGAGGTGAGCTGCAGGAGAGGTGGGGTTGGGCTTTCCCCGGGCTTCCACCCCCAGCTCCTCCCAGAACGGGGTTTTTCAGCCCTGTACTGTGGCAACGGCCACTTTCTCTTCAGACGTGGTCCTCTTCTCCCCCTTTCCACCATGGGCCTGCTCTCTGGGAATAGTGGGCTCAGCGCTTCCCTCTCCCCTCCCAACTTGGGCACCCCCTCTCTACCTTTCCTTTCCTTGTCTGATAGTAGTCCACATCTTGATCTGTCTTCCCAACGGAGGCTGCCTCCCTAAAGGCCACCCGCTCACCATCACCACCCCCACCATGAGCTTGCACACTTGCGTAAGGAGCAAAATGTGTTCTCTCTGGCCCTCTCAGCAGCTCCCAGGGCACTTTGCAGTCATGACACTGCCCCACCCCACCTCTGCACGGCTCCTCCTCCAGACCCTCTCTCCTTTGCCCCTGGGTCTTCCCTCTCAACTTGGATCAGCCTGCTCCCTGCTTCACGATCATCATGGGCTGCCAACTTAGCACCTCCCAGTTCTTCTGTCAGCTGCCTAAGGGTCTCCTCCTCAGACTCCCTCAACACCGCTCTATACTGTCTAGGCAGGGAAGGACCCGGTCAACTTTAGGATTCTTCCCTGGCACCAAGACAAGCTCTTACAGAAGAGGTAGTGAGACTTTGGTTTCTGCGGAGTCTTGGGCTGGCCCTGTTCCTCACCAGGTGTTATATACCTTCACGTGTCAGCTCACCAGCCACCTCTTGTAGGAGGCTGTTCCTGGCCCCCGAGACTGGTCTAAATGCCCCACCTCTTGGCTCCCATGGCACTCCAAGCTTACCTGTGTTAGGTGCTCTGCTCTGCTGCATTCCAGTTTCACTCTCTGGCTCCCGACACTGCAGAGCTTCTGGAGGGTATATTTATCTTTGTGTCCCCAGCACCAAGGACAGAGCCTGGACTTTTTTTGTGGTGCTGGGGATTGAACCCAGGGCCTTGTGCATGTGAAGCAAGCACTCTACAAACTGAGCTACGTCCCCAGCCCTCAAAACATATATGTTGAATGAATGAATGAATGCCTGTTGACCAGCTCCCCTCTCCTCTGCTGCAATTAGTATCTACTTTAGCAGCTGGTTGCTGAAACTACTGAGATGATCAACCCTCTCCTGGAGCCCGTCGAGCACCGGGATGGGAAGGTTTTTATGCCTGGGAACAAGGTCCTTTTGCACCTCAACCTCCTCCGTATGTTTGCTGACCTCCCCTGCCCCATGCCATGGGGTTGGCTGCTTGGGTACCCATGCTGGTTCCCTGGGGGTGTACCTGGTTCTCCCACAGTTGGGCATCGAGTCTCGCATGGGCCAGGGAGGGAGTGGAAGTGCTGGGTCAGGGAGGAGGCTGAGGATATTGAGAGGCAGATGGAGGGAAGGGGGTGTCAAGGGTGGAGGGAATTCAGACAAGGAATAAGGGGGGCTGGGCTCAGGGAAAGGTGGTCTTAGGGTGAGTCTGGGGATGAACAGTGGAGGAGCCAGGCTGTGGAGGCGGGTGGTGTAAGAGGCACAGTCTGTACTTTCCACCAGGAAACCGCATCACAGAGGTGGGGCTGGAGGCCTTCCTGGCCACAGTGCAGTACCAGGTGCAGTTCAAGTCCAAGAGCATGTCCAAGGGCCCAGTGGGGCTGCTGTGGCTGTCTCTGGCGGTAAGTCCCTGTCCCTGTCTCGTGCCATTGCTGCAGGCAACTTCTCCCTCCTGATTCCTGATCCAAGGAAGGTCTGCAGTCCCCATTTTTTTTTTTTTAATTACAACATAACTTCTGACCCTCCCTGTGGCGCTTTGGTACAGGGGATTGAACCCAGGGATCCTTTACCACTGGGCGACACCCCCAGTTCTGAGAATTAACTAGTCCCAGAGGACTAATTTTCATTCTTGTCAGCTGTCACTCTTCCTTTTCCTCTCCTAGAAAAACTGCTTTGACCCACAGTGTCCCATGTATACTACGATCCAGGAGCTGATGCTGCCAAGAGACCCCATCAAGACCAAGATCAGGGAGGAGGAGGTGGTGGCTTTCCCTACCTAGCCCTGCTCCGCAGTCTTCCCCGAGCCTCGGCCACAGAAGCACCTCCTGGCCCTGTGTGGACTGACCTCTCCAGGGGAGACCTGGGACCACTAACAGTCTATTGCTGTACTTTTCTTTGACATTGTAAACTTTGTTCCAGAAATACTCAGAATCAGAACAGTGATGGTTTGAATGAGTCTGCAGTTCTGCTGGGGATATCTCAGTCCCTCTGACATCAGGCAGCCAGGGAGTCACTCCTCTGGCTCCTGGGGGCTAGGTTTTGCCCAGGTAGCCCGCTCCCTCTCCAGTGTTCCCAGAAGAGATGTGCTTTGCTAGGAGCTGCATTCAGCCTCTGGTGTCGGAGGCAAAGACTTAGGCTTGGTGACGGACGTCATCCGTGGGAGAGGGAGGAGCAGACAGGCGGGGAGGAACTGAACAGGCCAGGCCCCTAGCATACTCCCTCCTGCTTTTCTGACCTGACCGGCCCCGTGTTTGGTTTGGAAGAGGCCGGGGCCCAGTTTAAGAAAGTGCGAAGTCTTGGACAAGCCACCTGGGAGAGATTGCTAAGTATATCAACACCTACACAGTGAAGGTTGGGCATTAAACACGGTAGTCAGCAACTGAAACCAGAGACACCAGGCAGCTGTGAGGGTCCTGGCATGGGCCAACATTGTCCTGGAGTGCCACCTCCACTGAGAATAAATGTGCCCAGAGCACAGGACTGGCTTCTGGGGAGCCTCCTGAGAAGGTGCAGAGGTCACACACCTGCCTCATCTGAGTAGCCTGCACCTGCTCCACATCCCTCACTACTTTGCCTCTACTCACCCTAAACTGCCGTCCCACCTGGTGTGTGGCCTTGGCTTTCACAGGGCCCTGCGAGCGCCTGCATCCCTCTTGCTCTATTGGCCCCCACTGCCTGTCTCCAGGAATAACCTGCCATTTCTTTGAGCTCCCACACAGAGCACCTTACCATACGCGATGCTGATCGGCCAGGCCAGCTTCTCTTTACCCCTGCCCAAGGCCTCTGAAGTTCCAGGACCTCTTTCAGCCCTTATCTTTATCTCCATACTTTATTGTTAGTGATGGTTAGTCCTGGTGACGTGGCTGTCGATGGGAGGTGGGGGGAGCTGGCCAGGCCTGAGATGAGCTGCCACTTTGTTTTATATTCCTGCTGTTGAATGAGGGTGGCTCACTGGCTCCCTGGGGTCCCCTACCACTGAGACAGGGTATGAGTTGCCCGGGCTGGTCTTGAACTTGTGATCCTCCTGCTTCAGCCTCCGGAGTTGCTGGGATCACAGGCGCATGCCACAGTGCCCAGCTGAGTTTAGCATGTTTTTGCACCTTTTTTTTTTTTTTTTTTTCCAGTTGTAGATGGACACAGTACCTGTATTTACTGTTTATGTGGTGCTAAGGATGGAACCCAGGGCCCCACACGTGCCAGCTGAGTGCGGTACCACTGAGCCATAACCCAGCCCCAGGTTTTTGCGTGCAGGAACTATAACTTACTTTGCCCAGCCTCTGTTCAGGGAGCAGGTATCTGCAGCTCTGGGAGAAAACATGGTAAGGCCTGGATGTGGAGGTTTCAGGGCGAGGGGGGCTGCCTCAGTTCCCTCCCTGCATTCCTGGCCAGCCTCAAGGGAGCCTTTTAGGGTAGTAGTTCGAAGAATCACACACACCACAATTGAAGAATATTTAACTTTTCTTAAAAAAAAAAAAATCTTAACCATGAAAGGAAGAAAATAAGAGTATACATTATCTTAACAGCAAAACAGTCATTTCCATATCTATATTTTATATATTATATATATATTTATATATATATTTATATATATATATATATATGTATGTATATATACACCCGGCACAGTGTGTATATTCTATTCAGTGGGATGTGGAGTGAGGACAGGGGCCAGTGCTGCAGTGGCCCCTGGGATGGTCCTGGATTAATTCAGGGTCTCCAGTATTCAAATCCGCAGCCCTTCCCCTGGGGTCCGTTTTCAGCTCCGTACCTGCTACAGGGCTTTCTACAGAGGGAGGCTGGGGATGAGCTGTAGGAAGCAGGGGGAGCTCAGCACCGGCCGGAGGAGGGGCTCTGGAGCTAAGTGGGGCTGGAGCCAGGAGACCTTCTTGTCCTTTGGGGGACAGTGGCGTGCGGTCTGGTTTAGCTCTGCTTTCAGCCCTGACCCTGGTTGCTGACCAGAGATGCCAGTGAAGCCCCTCTTCCCTTAGCAGTCCCTCTATGACCACCTCCAGCCCTCCAGGGACAGAAACAACAAGGTCACGTTATTTACAACAGCAAAGATGCACATACAATACATACATATTTATAAGAAACCAAAGTGACAAAGAGGAGGGGTAGGCGCCCTGCTCACTGGGGGGGCCTGTGGAGAGGGGAGGGAGAAAGTGCATTCATACAGCAGCCTCCTCCCCTCCTCTCGCCCGTACTCTGAGCGGGGGTCTTTCAGAAGCGGTCAGCATGCTCAGGAGACAAAGGCCTCGGAGGGGTGGGCTAAAGGGAGGGAAAAGACACTGGAACTTGAGTCCGTTCTGAGCAGACCAAGCAACATGCAGCCCCCCAGGCCTCGGCTGATCCGGTTCCTCGATGGCCTTTTCCACAGGAGGCTGGAGGGCTACAGTCCAGGTGATGTGTCTGTGGCGCTATCGTCCAGCGGGGCGTCAAAGCCTGTAGGGGATGGTGAGAGTGAGGAGCTGGCCAGGCCTGAGGTGCCCACCTCTGTGCTTTGTCCACCTGCTTCCTCAGGTTCACCCTTCTGGGCCCTCCACCATGACAAAGCTCTCTTCTCTACAGTCTTGGCTTCTTGTCCGGCCTGAACAGGGGTATCTACCGAGCCCCACTTTGCCATGCCCGAAGCCTCTAGGTCAGGCCGTCGGGGCTTGGCTTTCTTGAGTTGGGACGTGTCTCTGGCCCACCTGCTCGGTTCTGAACCATCTGATGAGAGCACAAGGCTTCAGTTCTGGTTCCCACCTTTAGGGAACTTCTGCGGGCCTCTCTAAAAAAACCCTTTCTGAAACCGAGGGGACGAGTGGGTTACACTCAAGGGGAAACAGGACCCCTGCAAGCACCTCTCCCACTCCCTGGCCATTTCCTCCTGAGCTGCTGGGCCCCTCCCTCATGGTAGGTCCGAGGCAGGAACTGGCTTCACTCACCGTCCTCAGGGCAGGACCCTGGTTCATGGCTGTTCTGGGAGTCGGAGGCCAGGGCTTCCTTGGCTGGAGGTGAGAGGGAGCTGTCTGTCCACCTGGCTGCCTCTGTGTGGAAACTGCCCACAGGTGTGGTGCCACCAGATGACTCTCCTCCAAGGGACTTCAGTAGCTCTCTGTGGGCCAGTTCCATGTCCTGGAAGAGTTTCAGGGGCAAGATCTGCTAGAGTCCTTCCACTCATAAGGCCGCTGGGGGAAGGTGTCACACTCCCTAATCCAGGCTGGGCCCTGGGGATGGGACCGTGATTTAAGGATGTGGCTGGGCGGACTGAGGCCAGGAAGACAAAGACCTCATTCCTAGGGAATGCGTCCCTCACCTTGAGCCTGTTGAGCTTGTGGGTGAGCTGCTCAATGGTGCGGAAGATCCTGCCCACGTCCCTGAGGGCCAGGCTAGGGGGAGAGCGGCTAGAGCGTCTTTGGTCTCCACTGCTTCCCTGCAGCTGGGGCTGAGGCTGTGTCTGCAGGCCAGGGTGGCGATCAGGCTGGGAGGGGCTTGTGGGCGCCCCGGAAGAGTCAGTGCTGGAGTCCAGGGGTCCTGCTGGCATGCTGACATAAAAACAGTTCCCTGTTCCCGCAGCAAGAGAAAGAGATTAGGAGGCGCACAGACACATCTAAGCCACCCTCCCGCTTCGTTTCCCATGCCGATAGGCAGAACGTGGCCCCCACACTGCCTGTAAAACCCCTCTCTCTAGATGGTGATTTTGCTTAGGCTGGCCACATGCCAGGAGGAGGAGCTCAGTGGTGAACTCAAGGGAGAAGGGCAAGGCCACAATTTCTTTTGGAAAATGCGAAGAGCTCCCATCCCCTCTTGAAGGGAAGGGGAAGATGTTGGGCTGGTTTTAGATTGTTTTGAAGGGGAGCAGGCGGGGATCTTTTTCACCCTGTCTCAGCTTAAGCTCTGTGGATGAACTTCAACACTGCCCCTGTCCCGTACCTCACCACGTGGGCACCTTGACCCATCCGAGGTCAGAGGCAGCCAGAGGGAGATGGCAGAGGGTCCCTGAAGGCGGCAGGATGGGTAAGCACTGAAGAACCTGGGCGGCTGAGCAGCCTGTCCCCACAGTGGCATGCGGGGCTGGGTGGGGCTGCTTGGAGAGCCAGGGCCCTGGGCACTCAGACTCCCTGCCTCGTATCTCAAAAGTCTAGGTGCCAAGCCCATGGTCTGAAAGGGGGCTGGACAGCTCTGGGCGAGTGGTTTCTGAGAGCCGGAGACTGGACTCGATGGTGTGGGATCTATTCCTTGTTTCGGAGCCCACACGCTGCTACCCGCCCATTCCAGACAGTCGAGTGAGTGTGTAGGGCAGCGTGCGTTGGGTGGGGACTGATACCCAAGGTCCAGCTCTTCCCACAGTCCCCTGCTCCAGCCTGGCCTGGCTGTGGCTCAAGGAGAAGGTGATTGATTACCCGTAGCCTGTGATGCGCCTTCCACTTCAGGTGGCTCAGGCTTGGACTGGCCACTCTCTGGTAGTGCAGGGACAACCTTGCTGCCTGCCACCTCAGCTGCACCGCCACCACCACCACCACCACAGAGACAGGAAAGACCAAAACACAAGAACAGGGAAGGGAGAGCAGGAGGAGAGGGAAGAAGTGGGGGTGGCAGAAAACAAGAAAGGGGAAGAACAAAGTGAACACAAGATCACCCACAACCCATCCCAGGAGGCTGCGGAGGACTTTCCACCACTTCACCAAGAGGAAGAAGGAAGGTCAGTTCCCAGAAACCCAGGAGAGGCAGGAGCAGGAGGCGGAGTAGGCATGGAGGGGGCAGGAGGCCCTGTGGGTGACAGACCTCACTTGTCTTCCTGCCACATGCCCCAGTTCAGCCTCCTCTTTCTGGCAGCTGGCTGTCTCGCCTTGACCTGGCCTCAGCCCCCTGCAGCTAGCCTCGTCCCACAGCCGTCCATGGGCCGCCCTTCCCACCACCTTATTTACTTGGCCACAGCCCCTTGCTCTCCGAGGTCTTCCCAGCTTGTCTTGAAGTCCCTCTACTCCTAGCTGTTCTCACCACTGCTATCTGGAGTGAGTGGCTGGCTGCAAAAACATCTGCCCTTGTCTTCCTTGTCAAGAGTCTAAGGCTCTTGGGAAGAAGGCTCATTATCCTTCCTTAGGAGCAGAAGGTGGGTGAAGAATGGGAACTTTATTGGTAGTTGACTGGTGCCAGGCAGTCCTCACAGATTACAGAACAGAGTTCAGAGATGATTGGCATTTTGTCTGAGGTCATGCAGACATTAAATGGCAGAGCTAATGCTTTGGACCTGAGCTGTCCGACTCCAGGGACTTCACATCCTCTCTGTCCTTCCCCCAGGACCCATGCCAGCTTCTGATCACACAGTACCCAGGGAACAACAGGGAAAGAAAGCAGCTGCGTGAGACTCGCCACTTCCCCAGCAAAAGTGGGTTGCCTGTCTCCCATGGACCCGCTCACATATTTTACCTTTTCTTACAACTTTGTAACTTCCTGCTGCCTCTGTGCCTGGAGCCTCTTCAGGTGGACTCCTATCCAGCTCAGGAGACTCCCAGATGCCAAAGTTTCTGGTCCTTGGGGGCAGGTGTGCCAGAGAACAGAGCGCTGTGTCTTTTTGCTCTGCCTGGGCCCCTTCCTGCCCCGGAAGCTGGGTATTGTCTCCATCATCCCCAGCAGGAGCCTGTCCTGGGGAGCCTGGGTCCCAGGGGTGAGAGGTGATGCTGATGACAGAAGGGGTAGGCGTCAGGTCATCTTCGGGCTCCCCAACAGCTGGAGTGTCCACAGTGTGTCCTGGCAGCAGACTCCACAGGATCAGGCGCCGCAGGTTCTCCACTGGAGGGAAAACAGGGTGATGGCTCCCCAGGCAGGGCCACGCACGCACGCCAGCAGTGGGGGCAGGTGCAGAGCAGGCGCGGCACTGCCGCTCCCCCTGCTCCCACCAGCACAGCGGCAGGGGAAGCTGGCGGGTTCCAGCCAACCAGCCAATGTCTCTGCCTCTCTCTCCTCAAGCACAACCAGGGAGGCCCTGAGCAGGTGGAGAGTGAAGTTCACATGGGCCATGCTATTTGGGGACCCAGGAGCTGATCGCAGCAGGTTCCTAAGGCACTCACCATCTTCCAAGGCTGAATCAGCGAGCCCTTCTATGAACAGAGGGCCTGGGAGGGACAGCTGGATGGGGTCCCTTTTCCTTCCATCCAGGGATGCAGGAAGGTGAGGCATGGCACCCGGCTCCTCTTCCTCTGTACTGCTCTCCTGCTCGGGATCCTCTGGTGGCCTGGGCTGCTTCCCCTGGACTCTCTGATGGGATCCAGTGCCTGTTTTGGATGAGAGGGTGATGTCAGGCAGAGTAAAAGAGAGGGAAAAGATGGGGTGAGCCCATGGCCAGCTGTGGCTCCAAATGGCTGGGCACACTGACTGATAGGTTCCACGGAAGTTGACCTAGCCCCTTCTATGGCCGGCCACTGTCCTAGGTCCTTGGCATACATCAGCAGACAGAACAAAGACCTCTGCCTGGGGTTGGGAGGGTCACAGAATAACTAAGTGAATAAGTAAATTACATAGTCTGCTAGAAGGTGATGACCACACACAGCCAGTGCAGGGCTCCCATCAGCAGTGCCACAGTTGAAACTGTACAGTGACAGGAGATATCACTAGCTGTATGGAGGGTGGGAGTGAGGAGGAAGAACGTTCTAAGCAGAAGGAAACAGAAAAGGGATCCAGCCGGGGAGCCAAGATTTTTCTCCAAACCCAAGATCCTTTGTTATTTCACATACAAACTTCCAGTAAGAAATCTGAGAACTGCCCACCTCATCCCATCCCAGTAATTATCCCTTAACTGTTTGCGCCCCCACCCTGCCCCGCATCCTAATGCTTCCTGTTCTCCACATGCCACCTGCTCTCCAGCAGCAATCCCTGGCTAAAGCCCAAGGGCCCCTGGACCTGACCACATTGCTCCTCTCTTCCTCTGCTACTAGCCCTGTCACCAGGGGAGGAGGAGTCTGGGCAAGTGAGCTGGTGCACACGGTCTTCAGTCTGTTGGTCTGTCCACCTTCCTCTCCCATACTCCCCCTACTCCGCCCCCCCCCCTGCGTTTCTTTATTCATTTTATCAAAACTTTATATATATGGTTCTGATGGACTCTCCCGTCACCCCACCACCCCACCCGACCCACGCCTATGAAAAAAAGGACAGAACTGGACTCTGACAAGACAATCCAGGGCCTCACCTCCAGGGAGCTCCTCGGGTTCTGGCTCGCTATGGAACACTTCTGAATCATCCAGTACTACCCTGAGGGAAGAACCGGACCAAGGTGAGCACAGGACTACCTTCCATCAATTCTGGCTGATGCTGACATGTCATGAATCCCACCCTGGACTCCCCAGTTAGAAGGCGCAACAAAGGAGTAGAGTCTGAGAAGGGAGTTGCTGGGCTTCATCTGTTGGACATCGGTCTGGACAGGCAGGCAACCTGGATAGGGGGCGGATACTGGCCCAGTTCCTCGGGTGCCCCCATCTACACCCTGAATTCTACTCCAGGTGAAGTTTCCATTATAGCCAGGTGAGTGGCTGTGGGGGAGAGGAGGCGGGCAGAAGAGAGAGGTGGGCCGCTCTCCACTGCTGGGGCTTGTTTCCCTGTGGGCACTTCCTTGCTGAGACTGGCCACCCAGGTGAAGGGCTTGGAAGCGGCAGGAAACAGACAGCTTGGAGTAGGGAGGGCAGCGGTGCCTAGAGGGCTAAGCACTGCACCTGCAGGGGGCCGCTGGCTCCTGAGGGCCCCGGGGTGGGGGATGGGTGGGTGTTGGGGCAGCTCCAGGGTGCCTGGTGGCGTTCCGCACGGCCTCTTCTAAGAGCTCCATCCATCTGTTGCTCGGCAGGAACAGAGAGGACTGGTGGTGAGAACAAGGCCAGGCGCACGCCTTGTCCCCTGAAGATCCCACTGCTCCAAAGCTTCAAAGCCCTCTCCACTCCCTGACCCCGGGACCTGCTGCCTGGTGGACACCCACTTCCCCGCGGACTGTGGTTCTCTTGGGTTCATATGACTTGCAGCCACCAATGACTGGATACCAAGCCTCTGTAGAGCCCTGTGCTAAGCACTCTGTGTCTACTTTCTCTCTCAAAATAACTCTAACGGGTGGCATTATCCACATTCTACAAAAACCCCAAGGTTGAGAAGCTGTCTGACTCAACCTGTCTCCTTCCACCGTGCCATGTCACCTCTGGCAGCCATTGTTCAGGGGGCAGGGCAAGTGGATGGTCTGGTAGAAGGACACGACTGGTGACAGTACGGAAATAATGACTCACAACTTGGCTGCACTGTCCTGCCTCCCTCTTCTCTTCCCGGCTCCCGATTCAGGGACTACTCTGGGGCCCAGACCTGGCCACTGTCCACCATCTGCATACACACCACCCTGGTCCCTAAGGGATGGCAGTTACATGCCCCCCCCCCCCCGCATCAATCCTCACGTGTTCTTGTCTGATGACGTCAACGCGACCAGCTCATAGATCTGAGGAGGGCCCAGTTCGGAGGTGCAGATGATGAAGAAGGCCCGTTTATCTGTGTGAGGAAAGGAAGGTGGAAGGGTCTGTAATGGGGAAGGGGAGAGCAGATGTGACTGCACCTGGGCCAGGTGACAGGAGGTAGACATGGAAACTCTGGCCCACAACATGGATGAGTAATGCAGCAAGAGACAGAACTGGGTCCTCAGAACCACTCGGGGCCCACCAATAAAAGTGACAGAAGCAATTCTGGGACCCCTAATGTTGTCTTTCATGGCTGCCCCATTGCCCTCCGCTCTAAAAACAGTGAGGGTTGACTTGTACAGAGCTTAGGGTTTACAGAACCTTTTCATAACCAGCAGCCCTTTATTTTTTGGTGTTGGGCATTGAATCCAGGGGTTCTCGACCCAGTCCTTTTTATTTTGAATAGGGTCTCATTAAGTGGCTCAGGACTCAAACTTGTGATCCTCCTGCCTCAGTCTTCCGAGTAACTGGATTACAGGCGTGTGCCACTGCACCAGGCTCCAGTAGCCCTTTTGATCCCCGGGAGAGGTCGGGTAGGTGTCACTCCCAGGTTACAGATAAAGGTGAGCCAGAGCATGTGGTTACCTACTCCTGTTCCCAAGCCTTTCCTCATGTACACCGTACTCCTTGCTATTTGCTGCTTGCTGACCACTGGACTGGGTTCTGTGCTACGGGTGCTTCATCTCCTGCAACCATGCTCTGTCCCAGGCACTCTTGTGTCAAGAGGACTTATCCTACTCTTCCGGCCCAAACCCATTCTCCCCAACCCTGCTTTGACATCCTCAGATCCCAGGACACCCACATCCTGGCCAGTACTGTCCTTGAGGATTGACCACCCTGCTTCAAGTTGTCCATCTTTACCCATTCTACCCCTCACCTGGCCCTATCTTGGACCACTTCCTTGTGCTTAGGCTGGGTCACAATAGGAGGAAAGGAACACAGGTAAGTTCTTACACAGGTAAGCCCCAGATCGGCTTACCAATTATTATTGTAAGAACCTACCAACTCCACATCACCCAGTGCTGGCTGGAGACGAGTTAATAGTGATCATAACCCCAGAGCCCCAGGCCAGCTGGGACATCGCCTCACAGGTACCTGTGGCCACTGAGCGAATGAGCACAGCGTTGAGCTTGAGCACGGGGCTGAAGGTCTGCTTGCTGTCTGAGGAGCCCACGGCTGTCTTGCTGTGGCACTTAAGTAGCAGCCTCTCGTCCTGTCTCTGCAGCAGCACCAGTAGGTCCTCCAGCAGCAGCACATGGAGGTCTGGGGGGTTGTGAGGCATGTCCCGCTGCCCACTCGTTCCTCATCCACTCAAGGGGATCAGAGGCTCTCAGAAACCTATCACCAGGACCCAGGAGGCCCTGGGAGTCTGGTAACCCAACTCGTTTCTCTTTGGTCACTCCCTTTCTGTACTGTGTTTAAGGATGCCCAAGCCACTAACCCAGTTATGTAGCAAGTGCCCCCCACCATGCTGGCTATCTTTCTATGTATGTACATATATGTGTATGTATGTATTCGCCATGCTGGGATGGAGCCCAAGGTCTCATGCATGCTAGGCAAGTGCTCTACCACTGAGCACAAACCCAGCCCCTCCCTACCCATTTAGAGCAACAGGTTCCAGGGCCTATGCAACAGAGAGAAGGCCCCCTACCACAGATCTCCTCCTAGCCCCAGCCCCCTGACACATACCCAAAGTCTTATCCTTGCTAATCCTCCAGGTCAGGGGCCCCTCATGGATCATCTTCCTGGTTGTAAGATCCAGGCTCTGTTAGGAAGACACCATCACTCAATCATTCAAGAACCTACTGTGCAGACCTTGTGTTAAGGTGCTGGGAGTCAGTGATGAAGAGGAAGCAGTCCCTGCCTGTTTAATCTCATGGGACACGGAGAAAAGTAAAAAGGTGATCATGAAGCCATGCACCATATGCTACTGCAAGACACCCCAGGGGCTCTGGCTTGGGCTCCTTCCAAACCCTACCACTTTTCCTGCCCTTCTCTTCAGCTTTATTCCCTCCCAATGATCTCCACCTTTACCTCAAGCCCTACCCCAACCCCTGCTCTCTGGGGGCTGAGTTCTAATATTTAGTCCTCACTTGGTGGCAGTCTGCCGCTGTCTATCTGGGGACGAGTGACCAAGACCACAGGGTTTATTTCCTAAGTCTCCTACCTCCCAGACTCTAGGCCTGACAGAGTTCTGCTCCTAGGGTGCCCATGAGGTGAGTGGAAAGGGGCCCAGTGCTGCGCCCTCTGCTTCCTACCTTGAACTCTGCTGCCAGAGGGTTGCTGGCCCTCTCCAAGGCGGTGGCATCCAGGCGTTTTTGGTAGCCCTCTAACCGGTGCCGGTTCTCTGTCTGCTTCACCGCTTCATTCACGAACTTGAGAATCTCCCGGCAATGGTCTCGAGCCCGGCAGAGCTTCTCATACTCAGGTGTGCCACCTAACCCAAGAAGGGACAGAGGGGGTGGTCAGGGGCTCGTTCCCGCCCAGAGACTGCACCATGGGCTCAGACATCACCTGCCTACCCACTACTGTGGTTGCTGACTCGCCTCAATCCAGCAGCAGGGGTTGGGGCAAGTTGTCCTTGGTAACCAGAGGACCTCTTAGGGCAGAGTGACTTTTCCTGAGCGTTCTGGGGTTTTAGACACTGGGGTGAAGACATTAACTGGCTGGGGTCTCACTTTACTCCTAGACCACAGCTCATTCTGCTATGGTTATTGGCCAGGATTAAGAGGTCCTCAACACCCCTCTCTCCTGACTCCAGTGTGTGAAATTTGAAGGAGTGAACGATGCTCAGGATCTCAGGGACAATGACAGCCGTGGTGGCAGACCCCTGGGGCCAGGACCCCTCATTTGGCCAGTCCTCTGCTCCTCTAGTGTCATCATGCAACACCATGTCTTTGTGCACTGCACAGAGGTGTCCAGCAGGAGGAAAGCTGGCCCTTGGCGTGAGACTACGATCATTCAAGGGACCACAGTGCACTCCTGGGCCTGCTGGCGAGTCCACGCAGAAGCTGTGTTGATCTGTACAAAGTCCCCATGCAGTTCAGTACTAGCGCTGGCCCTTTCTGCTACTGCGTGCCCTATATTTACAATCATTTTCTTCTTTGAAAGTCATAACAGTAGAAGACACTCAAGACTACAAAAGTCCAGTGACTTGGCTAAGGTTGCAAAGTAATACCAGTCTGAGGGTCTGGGAGGCCTGCTAGAGGCCAGCAGACTCCCTCCTGCATACCCTCTGTGTGCTTGATGATGTTTTCCAGCAGCAGTGGGTACTTGGTGAGTCGCTGCATCTCGGAGATGATGAGGTCTCTGAGCTGCAGCCTCCGGCACTGAGGGTGGCTCTCAGCTTCCTAGACAGCAGGAGGCAGGCAGTGAAAGATATCAACTCATGAATTAAAGGCTTGGGGCCAAGATGGGTGTGAAAATGCCAAATAGGGTCCTAAGTCTAGTTGGGTTTCTCAGAAACAACGGGGACAACTGGGTGACAATAACCCAAGGAAAAGGTCAAAATAGAATGGCAGGTATTTCCTTTTACAGACAAGGAAACTGAGATCTAAGTGCACACTGGTATTGGTAGATGAGCAATCTAGGGTGGTCTCTAGTTCTAGAAGACATCTAAGCTTCACAACACCAATGTGGGGTGGGACAAATGGATGGAGGGCATTGCTGGGTGTCCTTCACAGAGGAGACAAGAGGGTGGGGGGTTGGAGGAAGATGATCAGGAGATCCTTGGTGACCTAGATGGAGAAGACGGAGGCTGAGGCATAGTCCAGGACATACCTGCATGAAGAGCTGGAATCGGCTCTCTTTGCGCTGTTTGGTTTTGATCAACTCTAGAGCTATTGACTGATAGGAACAGAACTGTGCAGCCACTTGCTGGAGTTCCTCTTGGGCAGGACCATCAAACTGAAAAGGAAGGATAAATACCAGGTCCCAGAGCTCCCTGGTTATTTCCTCCTCTATCAAAAGTCCCTAGCCTTGGGTAATGGGACCTGCCAATCCAATCTCTTCCTCGCCATATGGTAAAAGTATGAAGTCATACCCGAGCTAGCATGAGGTCACCGATCTCTTTGATGATGGGGCCCTCATCCCGAAGCTTCTTCATGGCTTCACACAGGGAATCTGGCGTGAGGAGAAGACACACAGAAATGCCTGGGGGTGAGCTGTACTGTCAGGTACTTTGTGACCAGGAAAAATGGTATCTTTGGCAGCAGTGGTATGGGGAAAGGTCTGGAAACCATTTTACATGGGGGAACAGGAGGGCTTGTACCAAGTTGCCTATCAACTTTCCTCTCACGAGAGGACTGGTGGGGGTTATCTGCTCAGAAAGGTCAGGTAGGGGGCCAGATCAGAAGCTACAGGCCGGCAGTAAGGGAACAGCTCCTTACTGTGGATCTCTATGAGTTCAGGCAGGTTAGGGAAGAGCCGGGCCAGCTCTTCCCGGGGCATCAGATTCTCCTTCTTCATTCTCTGGTAGAAGATGAGGTCCAGGACCCGGAGTGTGCGCAGGTGAGAAGCTTCAGTCACAAACAGTTCTGAGTGCAGGTTTGACAAGAAGGGGTGGAAAGATGAAGAAAACAGATGAGAAAGTATCCAGAGTCATGACCTGGTTGCCATACCACCCCACTTTTAGGGGAACTAGAATGATGGTTTCAGATGATAGCCAATTTTCTCTCACACTAGGCCTGAACTGAGGTGGAACTGTCCCTGTCCCTGAGACCCGCCCCCCACACTATTCTCTTCTTTCCCACACTGTGTCTTAGGTACTCTGGACCTATCCCCACCAGGTATGAGTGGAAACCGGGGAAGCTGAGCAGGTTCTCACCATTGATGACCTCCTGTCGGTCGATCTCCCTCTGGGTCAGCCCAGCTACCACGTCCTTGCCCACTGTATGCTGCCAGTTCTGAGCATCTGGCTCTGGCTCCAGGTCAGACAATTGGCCCAGATCATCCTCTAAAAGGTGGGGAAGGAGGGCATCTGTGCAGAAGCCCAGGCTGGGGGACTCGATGCTCCTGGGGGAAAAGCGGCAGCTCAGTTTCTCTTGAGTGGAAGAGCTCACACTCAGGGTTTGTCTTTCCTTCTGCCCTGGGCCCAGGAAGACAAGATGCACAGCCAGCCAGCCAGCCAGCCAGCCAGCGGCTTGGGGTAGGAGGTGGCCAAGAACAAATGGGCCACAGAGATGCCAATCGGAGGAACCACTGTATCAGCACTCACCTGCGGCCCATTTTGGGGGTAAAGGGAGGGGTTGGGTTCTCAAGAGACCTGCAAAAGGAGGGAATATCAACTCTTAGCAACACCGTATGTATGCCTCAGGCCCAGACAGGGGTGGGTGGCACTGCCTGAGGTTGCTCACCTGGTGGAGAGGCTGGAGGCAGAAGACGAGGCTGACTGGTGGAGGCGAGTGGCTTCAGCAGCTGCATCCATGTCAACATCACTTCGAGAGCGGGGCACATTCTCTGCTTTCCGAGACCGTTTCATCTCTTCCCGGCCCTTAAGGCTCTCCGAGCGGCCTAGGCGAATCTCTGAGCGTGAACTAGGGAGGACGAACATGAGACTTTGGGCTCTTACATTCTGGCCAGCTTTTACCTGGTGCCCCATCTCAAGGGTGCCTCAGTGCTGCAGGTTCTCCCCATTAGCCACTGGAGTGTGGCACGCTAGCTCACGTGGATCTCTCCCATCTTATCCTAACAGCACCCTTCCTAAACTTCCATTTCCTCTCCAGGGAGCAGACGGGCTGGGGAGGCTGCGTCAAGGATCTGGTAACAGATAGGCAGGAGCCAGGCGCTACTGAGTGTCCCTGGGGTCTGATGAGATGCCAATGACTGGGCCTTGCTGCACTCTGTGAGTCCTGTGGTGCATCAGCCGTGAGACAGCTGGCATTGCTGACCCCTAGCTGCCCCTGATGTCCCCCTTTTGCACCCCCCCGCCCCGCCCTGGTCTTGCTGACATTATTACTAATCTACATCCTGCTCTGCTTCTGAAACCACAGAAGGCCTGGATGTCTGGAGAGAGTTCTTAATAGCACAGTGGGCTGCTGCAGCGAGGGAGCCAAGCGCCTTGGTCTCCATTCATCAAGTCTCCAAACTGCCGGAGGATTCAAAATTGAGCTCACCTCCTGGGGCCTGAGAGTTGGTCTGCTGGGTTAGAAAACTAACTGTGAAGCTGATTCCCTACTAAACTTACCCCCAGAAACTTGTTAGAAGAATTCCAACCTAGAGCAACTCAAAACACTTTTCAGGATGACCTCAATGGGTCATATCTGCACACAAACCTCCTGTGGTGGTGTAATGGAGCTACAGAGCCACACACCTTCCTACAAACACCCAGAAATGAGTGACACTCCTACCAAGAAGTGAGGCAGAGTCTACCTCTGGTCAAAAGTTCCCAGGGTCCTATCTTCTGGAACTGATGCATTTATACCTGGTGAGCATCTGCAACTACCTCACACCCACCTTGCTGCTAATACTTGTCTCCCAAGAATGTCAATGAATTTATCATCATCACATCTAAAGGCTTCTGGTTAGAGTACCTTTAGGATTCTGGTGAAAGTCTTAAGCAGGGCAAAAATAATTTCCTAGCAAGGTGAAGACTGCAAGTTTGTAAAAGGTCTCAAAGGTTCTCAAGAAGTGTTGACAATGTCTTATAGTCTTAAAATATTTGGTACAATTATATGAGCACAGTAGTCACATAATTTGTCTTTAATTTACCCACTGATAATAGAACTCAATCTCTCCCCACAGTAAAATCTAACATTTATCACCCTAAATCTTTGTCAATTCTCACTAGGACAAAACCTTTCAAAATGCACTAAGTTTATAAAGGCTTAATATGAACAGAAAGGAATAATCTTGCAGTCAAGCCAAAAATGTTTGATAATTAGTTATTTCAAAGGCAAAATGGCTTCACCATCCAGAGTTAACTACTGACTTGCTTCTATGCCTGCCTCTATTCCAGCTCGGTGGCTGACTTTAGTGAACACAAAAGATTATATTCCTGTACACAGGCTGCAGTACTCTTCCTCAAGGGAGACTTGAGGAATCTGCATGAATATTTGACTACAGGCAATCTTTATTTTAAGTGTTGGCTGTGTAGACCTTTGGCATGACCTGATTGCTGTCACGCCATTCAAGAGCAAGTCAATTAAGTCCTAGAGTATGTTAAAACCCCACAAGGATTCTTGTTAGAACCTGACAGAGATGAGGAATATAAGAGATGCCAGTCTCAATTCCCCGTTTCTTCTTGGGAGAAGCAGTCTGTTTTGAATGAACGCACTCTGCATGTCCTTGCTGATGTGAACAGCTGATGCCTACAGTTAAACCGCGTCTTAAAAGTGCCCTGCAGAACCTCCTCTCTAGTGCTTTTTTTCTGCAGGCAAAGACTTTATTTTGGGATCTTTTCATTTGGGGTCTTTTCATTTCCAGGACTTTCCTTCCCTTCCCCACTCCAGTCTTTTTTAACCTTATCATTTAGTGTTTTCTGATTAGTTGTAGTATAATATAGTACAGATCAATCTTAGTAGTAGTAGTCAGGGTGAATCCAAATGAAATTTTCAAAGCATACGGATTCTGATTTTCTTTGCTTGCTCTTCCACTTGCCTGACTGCTAACACATTTGGGGTCTTCTGAAGCTATCTGGGGCAGGAAAGTTGGGGGCAGGGGAAGAAAGTTCCACAGTGGGACCTTATCATCTAGTGGAGAGGGATAAGGCAGCTGGAATCAAACCCTAGTGCCAAACCCTGCCCATGCTCAGTGCCTTGGGCAGCTGGCAAGCCCCATCAAGCCACTGCTACCTGTCACTCTCCAGCAGGTCCTCTGGAAAGCTTCCTGTTGAGAGTCGCTGTGTCCCCGGTTCTGGGGCATCGTACTGCTGGCTGTTCTCAAAGTGCTGAATGATGTTCCTCACATTGCCTGGCTTGACTGCAGGCAAAAAGAAAAGGAAGGACACTATGCTTTCTGTTCTGGGATGGCTTCTTGGGGCCCTCACTCCCCTCTAACCCAGAAGACAGAGCAATGAGCAAGCACGGATGAGAACAGCATGGGACCAAGAGGCAGGAGATGTGGCTCTAGTACTGCTCTTGTACAAGTAGACGGTATGGCTCTGGGTGGTCACTCTTGGTCTACTCTTTCCTTCTGTGTAAAATGAGAGAGTTTGAAAGTATATTTTCTAAAAAGCTTTACTTCTGCTCTCACATTCATTATGACACCTGTACTTGAAAACCACAACTAGGTTTTTACTAAGGGGCATGTAATAGGCTTAAAAAAAAAAAAAAGCCCAGGAAGACCAAAAACATCTACATGACATTTGGCCATGTTGACAAAACCTATCAGGCATTTTCCAAACTTGGGTTACCTTCTGAGTGCATTACTGGTTATTCATTGACTCTCCTTCCTGTGCTTCCTGCCCTCTCTGAGTTCCCTCATTAAAGAAACAGTTCCTCTATCACTAGAGAGAGGTGACCTAGGAGGAATGGAGGAGAGGCATTCAAATTCAAGCCTCTTTTCCAAGTTAAGGTGAAAGGGAACTGTTCTTGTTCAATAAGACAGAGAGGGCAGGAGGGAGAGGAAATGACACAGGATGCCACTTAAAGACCCTGCAGAGGAGGACTCAGACAGGGGCATGTCCTACCTGCCTTATGGTAGGACACTGGCAGCCTGAAAAGAGAGGAGGAACTCCTCCTTCAAAGGTAAGAGCAGGACTTGGGCTACAAATGCCACTTTGCCTCCGACCAGTGGTACAGGGGAGGAAGTATGTATACTCTGGAGATCTAGGCCTAATCAACAGACTTCAGAGATTCTGATACCTACAGATATATATACTTACAAATCTCCTTGTCTGGAAATCTTTCATAAGAAAATTTTGAAGTTGGAGAGAAAAAAACCATTTGACTGCTCAACCCCACCTAGCAGGTGGCTATGGCAGTACTTTCTTCAAACCACCTAAGTAGCTGTGTGTATATTTTAGGGAGAGGAGCTGTTACTAACCACTCCTGTTTGGAGGTTAGGACCAAATCGTTTGTTCCAAACTGAATGTGCATCTGGCTCCGGGGCCACTGTGGATGTTAGGGTCTACCATGGAGCCACAGTCCCGGGCGACCTCAGAAGGGTGATGATATGAGAGCTTGGGGACGTTCTATAACAAAAAGCCACAGGCTAAGTCCACTGTCCCCTCTCCCATGGGCCACTTGGAAAATGCTCAATTGTGTCCTGGACAGTTACACACTGTACATGTCAAGAAAAAGGTGTAGCCCTGAGATCTGGTATGACTGATAATCCAGAGTAACAAGGGGAACAGGGAGACAGGAATTCATTTTTGAATGAAAAGAGCAAAGTTTCACTAGTAGCCTTTGCTCCCCATTCTCCAGTCTCTGAATGATAATGGAACCAAATAAAAGTGAATTATATTACTAGCAATCAGACAAAGAGGGGATGACAGCTCATGACCTTAAATGTCACAAAACCTCAATACTGAGGCTTTCTAAAGTGTGGGTGGGTGTTTGGTCTTCAGATATGGCTACATATCTGTCTGATGTCCTAGGGATTTAAAAACCATAAACCAACTCACATAATTGCAATGACAAGTTTCTGAGTCAAAGAGTAGGGCGCCCCTGACATCAGCAACTGGTCTCCACCGTGAGCATTCCTGTCATCTTTCAGGGCAACTCAGTGGTAGGCACTTGCCTAGCATTTTTTTTTAAATATTTATTTTTTAGTTGTAGGTGAACCAATATCTTTATTTCATTTTTATGTGGTGCTGAGGTTTGAACCCAGTGCCTCATGTGTGCTAGGCGAGCATTCTACCACTAAGCAACAACCTCAGTCCTATTTTTAATTTTTTAAAAATATTTTTTGTAGTTGTTGATGGACATTTATTGATTGATTGATTGATTTTGCTGAGAATCCAACCCAGTGCCTCACACATGCCAGGCAAGTGTGCTACTGCTGAGCCCCAGCCCCAGCCCCTTGCCTAGCATTCTTGAAGCCCTGGGTTTGAATGATGGGCCTGGGATTAGAGGTCATTCTTTTTATTCCCTCATTATTTTATAACTGTTTTTTCAATAATTCTTTATTGTTATTGCTTCAGATGGCATAATGAATACAGGACTTTTAAAATGAATAGAGTAACTTTCAAAATGATTGTGAAGTTAATATTTGTAATTGCAGATTTTATATAAAATGAATCCTAGTGACAGAGTAAATTCCTGACTGGATCCTACTGTGCACATGTGTGCATTCTCTCTCTCACACTACTGTAGAACCCAGAAAATATTAATTATTTAATCATATACATGTGGACCTCACAGACACGAATGAACTTGTCTGATTCTGTGACATTTTGATACAGGTTCTAAGCTTCTTGTGGGTTAATCTGTATCATTTATTCTAAATTTTTATTATTACTATTTTTGGTGATACAGGAATAGAATGCAGGGCCTCACACATACTAAGCACAGGTTCTACTCCCAGCTGGAGCTGCACTCCAGCCTCATAACATTCATTTGTTTTATGGTATTGGAGATTGAACTCAGGGACACTCTACCACTAATACACCCCCAGACATTTTTATTTTCTTTTTTTGGTACCAGAGATCGAACTCAGGGGCACTTGGCCACACCCCCAGTCCTATTTCGTATTTTATTTAGAGACAGGGTCTCACTGAGCTGCTTAGTGCCTCGTTTTGCTGAGGCTGGCTTTGAACTCACGATCCTTCTGCCTGAGTCCCCGAGCTGCTGGGATTACAGGCATGCAACATGGGGCCTGGCTCCTTTTTATTTTCTTATTTTGAAACATAGTCTTGCTAAGTTGCTGAGGCTGGCTTTGAACTTGTGATCTCAACCTCATGAGTTGGGATTACAGGTATGTGCCACCATAATCTTATTTATTTTTTGTTACACAAATTCTAGAAGATATTAGGTCCTATAAAATGCAGTTAGGGTCACTCTTTTTGGAATACTATGGTTCCATAGTACTGGCAGTTAAAACTCAAAGAGATGGAGGGCTTAAGCAAAATAGATGACATAAATAAAAGAACTCTTAGAGACCCACAATTTACTTAAAAAGAAAATAATAAAAATCCTCATTTTTGAAGGTTATTTCAATTGACAATGAAAATCTGAGGCAATCCTGCCTTATGGTAGGACACTGCAGGACATTAATTTATATAGAGCCCTGGATTCTTGGAACAGTACCCATAGAAAGGCTACAGGAGTTGAAGACAAAAGGCCTCAGGGCGTGGAAGACCTATCAGAGGCTGGTTCTGCCAGAACTGCAAGATCTCTATCTGAGGAAGAGGGTCCCTGTGGGCATAAGGGTAGGAGCCCCAAGGCAGCTTTAGCAACAAGGAGGGACATAAAGAAAAATGGAGAGAAGCGAGGGAGGAAGGAAAGAGGGTCAGGAGAGGAGAAGAAGATAAGATGGAAAAGGGAATGACAAGATTTGGGAGATGGAAATTTGATGTTAATGCAAAGACAAACCCAAAGAAAATGGTCCTTTTACCTTCCACAGGGGACAAGGGAATATGAAATGCTAAAAGAAAAACAAACAAAAACAAAAGTAAACCATGAAAAGTCAAAATTAATGTTTCAAAATAAAAATTACAAGCTGGAAAATGAAAAAGCAGTGGCAAAAATCAAGGTGGATATAGAAAAAGCCCTTCCTTCTCAAACCCCGCAATGTACCAATTTAATAAAGGGTAATAGGCTAACCCACTATCCACCCTTCATAGGCTCCTACTGGCACTGGGGACCCAAGACACTGGCTGTGAAGGCCAGCAACAATTTTCAGAAATATGACTTATAGCTGAAGAGAGATCAACTATAGGGTCAATTGCGTTTTGGCTTAAGGATGGCATTACAGGAACCTCTGGGTCCCAACATGCCTCAAACCAACCTGTCTAGTTCTATTAGCTAGTAACTCAACCCTCCCATCAAGAACCCATAATTGTTCCCAAAACATAGGACTGCAGGTGTGTAGACAAATCCCATGGGTGAAGGTGAAGGAAGCATCACATGTCACCAGGACAATATTTGCCAAAGCGGAAACTGTCCTCCATATTGCTGTTTAGTAGCTGTGGACCTAAGACCCAGGGACAGGCATGGAATCCTTGGCTGTGACACACTCATCTGTACCTCAAGAGCCCATATTAGATGTGGCAAGGGGAGAAAGCAGCTGTCTCAGCGTTTTGGCCTGTGGCTCCCAGAAACATAGGAGGCCTCTCTCCCAACATGGTGGCATATGAAGGGGCTAAGGTCCCAAGGAATGCCCAAGGCTGTTGCTCCCCAAATACTCACTGCTCTGAGAAGAGCTTTTGGGCTTCCCAATGTATTTGAGGATGGGATTTCGCTTCTTGTCCTCCAAGGCATCCTTTTCTTTCTTGGAATTGCTGCTCTGCTGAGACAGGAGACACTGGGGTTTGGAAAGGTCCCAATACCCTCCGACATGGCTACTAATCACTCTGCTTCTACCCCCAAGACTAGCCCTAAACAAATAGCTGGAAAGTTGATCCTTGTTTATGCCCTAATCAGCATGGCGAGTTCGCCTCTGGCAGGTTTGGAGGAGTGTCCAGTTAGATGGCTGCAGTATGGCTTTCCTGGTCTACCTGAGCCGAGAGAACTGATCCAAGATACACTATGCTCTAGAGGAGCTCTGTCACCTGCTTCCTCTTCTTCTTCTTCCTTTTTTTTTAAAATATAGAACGCTTCATGAATTTGCATGTCATCCTTACGCAGGGCCATGCTAATCTTCTCTGTATCATTCCAATTTTAGTATATGTGCTGCCAAAGAGAGCACTCTGTCACCTTCTTGGTCTTAGGGAAGAAAGGCAGCCACTTGTCCTTGTCAGGAGCAGACTGGGCCTTTTCGATTGTGTTGGAGGGTCTTGCCTCCCGAAGCCGGATCCCAGCATGGCTCATGTAAGTATTGAGGGCAAAGTCCATGGGGGCACTGCAAGAGAGGAACCGTGTGGTGAGCCAGGAAGCTCAAGTCACATTCCCTGCCAGCAGGTGGAAGGGCCAAAACCCTGCTCCAAACAACCTCCCCACAGCTACCCAGTGGAGTGGGGAAAGGGTATTATGGGTCAAGGCATTTAAAGGGAAGTCTGGAAAAGTCAGATGAGACTGCAGGCAGAAGCTGGTCAATTGTCTGGGCTGGCACAGCTCCCAAGAGAAATCTAACTCCTTCCCTAAGCAAAACTTTTTCCAATGAGGGCATGGTGGTCAGTGGATGGGAACACTGATCTCTAAAACATAAGCAAATGATTCTCTGGCTTGTCAAGTCATTGGCAAGTCAGAGGACTATAACTAATATTCTTATACATATACATCGGGGCTCTGCAAGGGAAAGGAAGAGATTCTCAAAACAACCATTCTCTGCTAAGCCATATTGCCTCTACCACCCTCCTGTCTCTGAGAACAAGGAGAGAGATGGAAAGGAGCTGTCAAGGAGTTTCCAACTGCCACAAATGAAACTGTCCAGAGATCTGGGCTTCAAAATGTATTTGGCCCACAATTCAGTAGATTATCTACTTTGTGAATTCAATGCAGCAAAGCTTCAGCCCTAGCTCTGCTGCCTTCTTACACAGACGTAAACCCCATCTTCTCTCCCTTATTAAGTGTGTGTGCCCAGGGAATGCAGATTCATTTTAATACCAGTTCTCTGATGAGAACTGTATGTTTACGCTTTAGGGAACTGGTACCCCCAACCATTGACCACTGAGCCCTCATGGGAAATGAGGTAAGTATGTAGGCTGTGGAGAAAAAAAAAAAAATCACAATATGTGCCTAGAGAGGAAATACCCTCACTTCCCTCTTCAGGGGCTGCTAACCCAGGCTGATTCTCCTGTCATCAGTACTGTTAGAAATTGTTTAGGGGAAAAGTAAGGAGGAAGATACAGGTCTAATTGGGTAGGAAAGCAGAACCGGGTCTGGGAAACATTAGGACAGGACACCAAGGAGCAGGCTCACACTCCTGGGTGGTGGCCCCAAGCACCAGGGGCCTAGGTCTCGCAGCTGCGGTGCTTTATGGTTATGGCCACCTGGGAACCAGGTTGCACAGACCATGATCTTACAATGCTGCAGACTCCCCTGTGCAGGGCAGAATGGAAAGCACAGGAGCTTAGTTCCAGTCCTTCCCACCTTGAAAGCTGCAAATGAACCACACCACAGACTCACCTCCTGTCTTCCTCATACTTAGACCTGGAACAAAAGAAAGAACAGGCAACTCAGACTGCAAGAGGAAGGCTTGGGAGGAGGGAAAGTTCTTTCTTAGAGAGGGGAGGAGGGTGGTGGGCAAGAAGAAGGGAGTGTGATGAAAGGTCAGACTTAAGACTTAAGGCTCTGGAGCCAGCCTGGGACTCTGGAGGTGAGAGTTCTTATTCCCTTGAGGGACTCAAGTAGCACAGAGTGACAATGATGTCACTGATGTCCTTCTAGCTAGAAGGAAGGGGATATGGCAAAGACAGCCTCTTGCTCACTATTTTAGTGTGTGAAGTTATTATGGGGGAAGAGGCTCTTTTTCATCTCCTTCTAGGACTGGCACAGAGGCGGAGGAGAGGAGGAGGGAAAGCAGACTAACACCTTGAGACCAGATCCAAAGAAGCCGATTAAAAGAGGTAACTGGTAACAGTGACAAACACTCGAGTTCGGCCAGGCATTATTCTAAGCTATTTACATCATTTAACCCATTGAATTCTCAAAATAACCCACAAATGGGTATTATAGTCCCTTTTTGTGAGACCCAAACTTCATTGCTTTAAGTGGAAATCATTCTAAGTGTGGTGTTAATGCTGCCAATAACCAATTCTTATAATTCTGGTACCTATGAGCTCAAAATAGGTTCAGTCAGGTCCTACCTCCAGTTCTGAAGTGGCTGGGGTGATTAATGCCATCTGTCTGCGTAGGAAACTAAGGCCGGATTCAGGGCCCAGCTGAAGGTCAGAGGGTAAGTTTCCAAAGCATATTCGTTCTGTGTGCCTTCATCAAATCTCGAACTCAGATCTTTAATCAAATGCTAGATTCACACATGTAGTTATCTCCTCAAATCTTCAGTCTGATGTCCCAAAGAACCCAAATTTAGCATGCCCCAAATTGAGCCTGATTTTACACCACAAAACCACTCCCTGCGCTCATTCCTTCATCCTTTTAGCAGCCTAGGTAAGAAATAAGAAACCCTTGGAGTCTCCTTTGACTTTTCTGTCTCACACCCCACACTCAGATTTTTAAAAAAACATTTTTTAGTTGTCAATGTATTTTTATTTTATTTATTTATATGCAGTGCTGAGAATTGAACCCAGTGCCTGACACTTGCTAGGCAAGTGCTCTACCACTGAGCCACAACCCCAGCCCATGGCACTCAATTTTTAGGAAGTCCTTCTGTAGTCTAGTGCCCAAATCTACCTAGAACTGACCTCTTTTCACAACGTCTGAGAATACTACACTGGGTCTAGTCCCTATCATTGTTTCTGGGAATTCCTATAGAGTCTTCTAGCTGACCTTTCTCTCTCTCCAGCCATCTGTGCCCATAGCCTGGCCTCACACACCTGGAATGGCTCCCTGCTAACTGAGTAAACCCCCAAGTCCTTATCACAGTTCCCAAGCTCTGCATGCTGTATCCTGTTACTTCTCTGTCACTTACTATTCACCCTGTTCTTGTTACACTGGCCTCTGCACTACTCCCGAAAGGTCCAGGGCATTCCTATTCTGCCTTGGCTGTTCCTGGCCTGGAATGCTTTCCCTCAGATGTCTACAAGGACAACTCCCTCACTCTCTTCAACTGCTCACTTTCTTCAGGTGGTTCATCCTGATCACCTTGCTTAAAAGTGCAACCCACTGATTCTGGTACTCCGGCCCTCTGCATGCTGCTTTACTTTCTCCCCCAGTGCTTATTATTTTTAATATACTACATGATTTCTTTACTGCTGTCTCTTCTACCATAGGTAAGCTCCAAAAAGGAAAGAACCACTTTGCTCATTAATGCATTCAGGAGTGTCCCATGTGGAAGTTCCTGGCACACCAGTGGGAATGCCCTTAGTATCTGCCAAGCTGGAATACTGCACTAGTTGAAGCTACAAGATCATCTATGCCAATTTTCTTATTTTGTACACAGAGCCCAGAGTGAAGTAGCGGGGTGATACAACCACTTACCAATAAGCAGTATTGGGGCAAAAAATTGTTTCAAGGCCTGGAAGTATCCCCACAAAACCTATGCCAGACTTGAATTATAGTGTCCACTATGCATTAGAAAATGGGACTGGAGAAGTGTAGCAAAAGCAGCTGCATCAGAAGCCCCTAAAGTGAGTTTGGTTTTTCAAATCAATAAAATGGTTCTGTTTCCTAGTTCTAGGGGCCTCCTGGAGGAACTTTATCCATAGGGGACTGGGAGTGCTGGCCTCACCCTCAGTATCAGTATCTTAAAGGCAGGAAGGGAGGGAAGTCAGAGAGGACTAGAAAGGGGAAGCAGAGTGTCCTGGAGCCTGTGGCTTGTCATAACCACCAAATGACTCAGGAGCTCTAGACCCTGCAACTCCCCTGACAGCAGCAGCCCTTTGCCTGAGAAGTGCCATGGGAGGGCTCAGCTCTTCCCATCTTTCAGGGAAAGAAAAATCAAGGAAGAAGTGGAAGAGGGTGGAAAAAGACCCACAGGAAACCTGCTGGGCACGTTCAGGGGCGGGAGTGGAACTGAAGACTCACAATATATCTCCGAGGGCAGCCAGCTGCTTCTCGGCTATTTGGCGCTCTCGCAGAGGGTCCCCATCCAGGTCTAGCAGGTCATTTTCACCATACAGGCTGCCCAGCCCCAGAGTGCGCTTGGTTCTATGCCAGACACAGAATAGGAAACACATATACACAGATTCCAGCAGACATGCACACAGACAGGGGGGCAGACGGACACACTGCAGAGGCAAAGTGAGAGCTCTGCTAAGCAACGCCAGGAGAGATAGGTCAGTGGGTGGGAACTGGCAAACCTGTAGTCGTGGATCTGCTCCTGGATCTCAGGCATGGCTGCCTCCTGAGCCTCACATAGAATGCCCCGGACGTCTTCACCATTCCGCAGACGCAGGTCTGTAGTGAGAGCCCAGGGAAGGCAGCATGGGCAGGGTGTGGGGGCAAGAGGAGGCTGCTCCTGCTGAGCATCTCAAGGGGTCTCAGCTCCCTAAGACACTGGGAGGAGAGGCTGGCTTTCTGTCCATTCACCTAAAGAAAGTGGAAGCCTGCACTCCATTCAGGTAATTTCTAGATTCAGGACTGGAATTCTGATGTCTAAGGCTCAAGTCAAGGCAAGAACATTTTCTGGATGTCCTATGCTCCATTAGAAGAAATAATGAAGCCCTTCTCACTGGATATGTCCAAATGCTGTTGTCTGACATCAACGTGCAGATCTCTGAGAGGCTCATTCCCCTTCTACTGCCCCTGGTCCAGCTCAAAGGACTAAAAAGGCAAGCACTTCACACTTTATAAAACCGAGAGATGTGTCCTCTCCTGTCCCAGCATCTAGCTCCACCCTGCTAGGCCAAGTCCCTGGGCCCAGTTGGCTCACTCTCTGTTTCTGAGTAAGCTCTGTTCTCCCTATCCTCTGTGTCCATAAGTTCTCCTTGGTCACCCATGCTGTAAACAGCTTCTTTCCAAAGGCAGCCTGTCACTTCTAGCCTCTAAAAGGTTGTGGGTGCTGAGCTTCTCAGACTGTCGTCCTCTATACACCATCCCCTCCTAATTCTTCTGGAATCAAAAAGAGCTGAGTAATCAACCAGTCACTGGGTCCTCACTCTGGACCTGCTGCTATCAACATTCATAAGAAAGCAAAAATAAATCCCTTAAAAAACAAGACAGAGTCTGGGGTTGTGGCTCAGTGGTAGAGCACTTTCCTAGCATGTGTGAGGCCCTGGGTTTGATTCTCAGCACATATAAATAAATGAATAAAATAAGCGTCCATCAGCATCTAAAAAAATATTAAAACAAAACCTACTCCAGAGACACTGACTATACAGGTGGGATGGAGTGAGGTCTCTGGATTTTAGGAATCCCTGATTGAGTCCACTTTTCTCCCCACTGAGGGCCAGAGCGGTCACATAAAAGGTTGGGAGAAATGAGACCAGGTCTCCTAATCTAGGGCCAAGGACTTCACATAACAAGCTCCACCAGGCAGAGTGAGCTCCTAGGCAGGATCTGTCACATTTGTGCCTTTCCATAAGCTACTGTGAAGTTTTCTGGAGTACTTGTCCTGTGGGTATTTTCCCTTTTTAGAGGACAGTTCCCCAGGGAGAGGGGCTGTCCTCTATGTCCCCTCTGTCCTCTGAAGTATCCTGAAAGCTCAGGATAATAGGGGCACCAATGGGAGTCAAACTGACTAATAAGCCAACTTACCAATTTCAGCCTGTAACATGTCAGGGATCTTCACTCTGAGAGGCTGTACAACAGAAGAGTAGGGTGGGAGTGTAAGTCAGGTGCTGCCCGGGAACGAACAGCATGCAGGCGGGGAGCGGCTGATCATGTTACTTTCTCTCCTTCTGCCTACATCTACTCCTACCTCCTCCTCTCATCTCTCCCCAACTCTATATCTGAATTCTAGGCCAAGGTTTTAGGAAATAGAATCTGAGATTACAGATTAAGTTGGGATTATATTCTAAGGGTGGCAATACTTTTGGTCAAAATAGTTTTTCTACTTTATTTTAAGGCAATCAGGGTGCAGAGAATAGACAATGTTGCTCCAACTGGTGGCAATTTAGCATCAAGGGAGAAATCTCTGTTAGACTATCTGATGGGCTCTCCCTCCCTTTCACTTCCAAGGAACATTGGTCTTATATTTCCTTACTCAAGACCCACTTACAGGAGCAAATATAAAACTATCGAAAAAATCAATTTTCCCCAACTTCATTAATCCTAATAGCTTATTGCCAGAATAAATTGATCAGATTAGAAAGTCAACCTGGGAAGTGCCCTGCAGGCAGAAGTCTTTTGGCAGGGGGTCCCTGACATCTCCCTGGGCATTACATCCAGATGTATAGAGTGCTCATCTGTCTGGCCCAGATGCTCCAGGTCTCTTCAGCTCCTGCCTTTGGGTAGCAACAGCACATCAGGCTGAGCTTCAGAAACCTGGGTTCTCCTTGCCTTGTTTTCTACATAATTTGATATCTCTAAGGCCTCTGCTCTTCCTCTAAGGAAGGACAAAGCAGACATGGCTGAAGAAGTAAGAGAGGCAGTATGTATTCTGTATGTGGTACTAAACAGGTAAAGAGAGAGTCATTTTTTGAGAGGAGAGGTAGGGATGGAAAACAGGAACCCTAATCTTTCAGCCTGGATATCTCTTTAAAAACCTGCCTCCACTGGGCCTGACTGCTTTGCTTAGTTTTTCCTCTGACTGTGTCCAAAGAGTATAATGAGATTGTAATTCAATCCATGACTGCCTTACCGCATTTTTCTCTAGGAAAATATTCCAGATGTCTTTTCCCAAGCTTCGGGAATCCTTGGGATTTGTCTGCTGATAAACTTCGGCACACAAGTAAAAAAGCTACGAGGAGAGAGAAAATGTATTGGAGCAGTGGTTCTCAACCAGGGATGGAACTTTAACCCCCTGGGTTGACATGACAATGTATGGAGACATTTTGAGTTGTTACAACTACCAGGGGAATGAGTGCTATTGGAATCTAGTCAGGAAAGGTCCACAGATGCTGCTAAATATCCCTAATTGCACAAAACTGTTTACCATAACAAAGAATTCTCCAGTCTAAAATGTGAACAGGGCTGAGGCTGAGAAGCTCTGGTTTAGAATGTTCTAGAAACCTGTGACAGAGTAATCCTTATCCCCTTCCTCACATGCTCAGGGTCTTCACTCCTGCACTCTGTAGCCTTACCATGCTTGATATTTTACTTGCATCTCATACTTGTTTATATGTTGTTTCTGAAGGGATATTTCTCTCTGTGATATGCCTTGTTTTTTTCAAGAATGCTTCTGAGACACCAGCACTTGGAACTTAACACATGGGTAATCCTGTCCTGCTGAGCAAATGGACATTTGTTCTGGTCTCTAATCATGGCAGCAGCAATCCGTGATTCCGAAAGAGGCGTATTCTGGACATCAACTCCCTCTTCCATCCCTTTCTTTCTCAGTAGCTGAGAAAAATGAGGGAAACTGCAAAGTTGCTGGCCCTAAGCACCAACCAGGGCAGGCAGATACCATATTCGCATGTTCATTCCTGGTGGTCACCTTCAGACTGAAGACCTTTACTACTGCACCCTGTCAGGCTTTCTTGTAGTAACACTGTTTATTTGCAAGGGCCTTTCTCTCAATCCCTCCGCCAATCTGTATTCATTCCTTCATTCACAAAACTCAAGAAAGAACATCTTGTCCAAGAAGACTTTCTAAACTCATCAAAAATGGCAGTTTTCTAGTCTCATCTTTTCTGCTACTCCCTAGGTAATGGATGTAGTTGGCTGTGTCACACATAGTGAAGACTCTCTTCTGCTTAGGTTTTATCCTCTTTCTTATTGTCACAATCCTTAAGATGCCTGACTATGCCCATGGATCTGATATTTAACATCTAGAGACTGGGCACAGAGGCCAAAGATTCTCTTTGCCAAGCACAAGCAAGCACTCAAACCAGACTGATAGTTCTGGCTTACCAGTGGACTGGGGTCTGCCTGAGAGAAGATGTATCGAAGAAAAACTGCCAGGTGAGCTGGACGTGACCTCAGTTTTTCGAGATCTTGGAAGACAATGTCACTCTGGAAGGCACAAAGGTGAGCATAACAAGCAGGTGCAGAGGCAAGGGCAGTGGAATAGCCTGCTCCAGCTTTGCCCCCATGTTCTCCACCGTCTGGCCCATCAGCTCGGGCTCCCTCCTGCCAGCTCCCTTCATAGCTGGTGCCAGTCAAGGGCAGCTTGCATGGCAGAAGGATGATGAAAGGAGAAAATCAGGAAACACTTACCTCGTTGTTGAAATAACCAGGATCGTAATCTTCCTCTGGGCCAATAATTAAAGGCTTCGGGCTTTGATCTATACCCTGGGGTAGAGAGGCAAGTTGTAGAGATGAGAGGTTATAGAGGATGAAAATCCAATCTCTTCAATGTTCAGTAACAGCACAGCACTCACAAAGAAAGCTACTTGGGTCTGGTAAACGCTGGTCTCTCACTACCACCCCCAAATCTCAGAGCACAGATGCAATGATTTCCACTTGCAGGAAACCAACTGCTTCTGGGTGGGGCGAAGCAGACTCAGAGCAGCCTGGTCACATGACATATGAAGATGGGAAGTAAGAGAAAATGCTCTCTTCCTGTTTGCAAAAGATCTGGGGAGGGAGCATCAGCTAACAAACAGCACCTGCCATATGACTGGGCTGGGGGCTGCACTGTTTTCCTGAACAGTCACCCCACAACCTAAAGATTCGCTCTCCAACTCTGGTATCCTGGTATCTACCACAGTGCTGCTGAATAGCTGTGTGCCTACCTAATACTGGTGGATCAGTAACTGTCAGAGAGCCATGGAGTTGATCTACCTCTCTGTAAACCAAAGGGGATGGGGCTGATGTTTTTCAAATACTACTTCTATTATTTCCCTGGTCTGCTCAAGAATCTATGGTAGATAGCCATTACCTGTTAAAATCCAAACTCCTTAGCTTTTCTTTCTTTCCCTTTCAGGCCAATTTTAATAAAAACGAAATCCTAACCAACATGATTACTAACTAAAGGGACTTCATACTGCATGAACAGATGTTTACAGGACAAATTCTTTTCCTTTAGCTTTCATAGTTTTTCTAGCAACTATGTTTTCCCTTGATTTACTCTTCATTTCCAATGACTCCTCAGCAAGGGCTGAGTTTCTGGAACCCACCTAGCTTACTCATGCCCACTATGATGTTGGCCTGGTCTATCTTCCTCACTACTTTCTTTTCTTTTTTTTTTTTTGCACTGGGAATTGAATCAGGATGTACCACTGAGCTATATCCCCAGCCTCCACCGCATCCCCCTTCCTGCTTTTTTTTTAAAAATTTGAGATAGGGTCTTGCTAAGTTGCTGAGGCTGGTGTCAAATTTGCAGTCCTCCTGCCTTGGCCTCCCAAGTCCACCATACCCAGCCTCCTTACCACTTTCTCAAGGGGCTTCACCTGACAGTTCCTCCCTGATGCCCCGTACTCCCTTTCTGTTCTCCTGGATAGTTAATGACTCCATGCCAGAATGATGAACTCAGAGACCCAGAAGATACTGCAGAGTCTAATACTCATTCATAGTTTAGAACAGCAAGCCCTAGTGAAACCAACGGGTGTGCTTGAAGTCACAAAGCCAGGTCCAGGGCTGGGGATGTGGCTCAAGCGGTAGTGCGCTCGCCTGACATGCGTGCGGCCCGGGTTCGATCCTCAGCACCACATACAAACAAAGATGTTGTGTCCGCCAAAAACTAATAAATAAATAAATATTTAAAAAAAAAAAAAGCCAGGTCCAATGTGCTGCACTTGTACTTCCAGACAGATTCCAAGTATCCTCCTTTTTCTGGTAAACATCCTAGTCTCTGAGCCCCTTCATCCTCAGTAGGTGCTGGACTGGATGGGTACTTCTGGCTCTACTTGGTTCTTTGATGAAAAGCACTAGGTTTTTTTGCTTGTTTGGTAGGAGGATTTTTAAACAGTCTTTACAAATTCACATTTTTTTTTTTTTCCTAATTAAAAAAGCAGGCTGGACACAGTAGCATGTGCCTTTAATCCCAATGGCTTGGAAGATTGAGATAGGAGGATTGCAGGTTCAAAGCCAGCCTCAGCAACTCAGCAAGGCCCTAAGCAACTTAGTGAGACCCATCTCAAAAGGCAACTTTAAACTTTTTTGACCAATAATAAACTCATTTTCATTGCAACCTGGTACACATATATGTAACTGAAACAGAAATTTTACAAATCTACTCTTACTCTTACTATAGTCAAAGAATTCTGACATTTTGTTTACCATGTTATTAGATTGTACTTCATTAAAATATTGCACTGGACTTTTGATATTCTATCATGATTCAAAAGGTGATAACTGAGTTTCAAAATACCATCTGCATACTTCCCTACAACAATGTCTTCCAGTATGGATCTCAAGATGATTTTAGGAGAGATGAGTTTTGTGGAGGTTTGAGATAATTTTAGGTGTTACTTGGATATGAATTAAGGAACGATGAATCATATTATAAGAAAGTTTCTTTTCAATTTCCATTCAATCCTTTTGATTAACCCAGAGAAAGTTTCAGTCTGCTGTTAATCTAACTTTAATACCCTCTACAAAGGCAGAATCAGCCTCAGGCTTAATTAAAGCCATTGAAAAGCAGCAGAATCTAGCTAGAGTTTATTTGTTGGCGTGTTTTATCTATTTTAAAAATAAGTGATATAATTCAGAATTGAGAGGATACAAAAGGGTACATATAATGAGAATTCCTCTTTCCATTTCTATCCTCAAACTATCAATCCTGCTGTTCAGAAGCAATACCACCATGTATGCTCCAGAGGTATCTTATAAAGAAGACTCCTATTTCTTGTGTGTTGGGGGGAGGGGTGGATACTGGGGAATGAAAACAGGAGGACAAGGGGAGGCAGGGTGCGGTGGACTTCTTCGGCCACTGAGCTACATCCTCAGGCCTTTTCTTATGTTGAGACAGGGTCTTGTTAAGTTGTGGAGGCTGATCCTCTTGCCTTATCCCTCCAAGCTGCTAGGATTACAGGTATGCACCACTGCACCTTGCTCCTCATCCTCTTTTTAATATAAATTGCGGTTTTCTTTCCACACTGTTCAATATCTTGTAGACAGAACTTCACAAAATTGTTTCTAAACTTATATTTTGCATTTATACTATGTGATACTGGTTTTAATATCAGACCGTGACCTATTTCCTTTAAAATGAATTTAAGTTTAAAAAAAGTAAGCTTGAAGAAAAATATTATATAACATTATACAGTCAGAAAGTAGACATGGAAAAAATCTTTGTAGTTGTAAATTTTAAGCAGTGCTGTTTCACAGGACCAAGAGATGACTTCCTGGATCTCTAATGGCTTCTGCTTGCACAGAAGGTGACTCCCTGGCTCTCAAGTCAGCACACCACGTTGTCAGACAGTCCAGGTTTTCTACAAGTTTCTGCACTGAGCCAAAACCTGTCTACCTGGATCTCCCATGGACTCGGTTCTACCCTTGAGAGCATGGGATTTCTAATCAGGTTCTGTAGAACCCTAGGGCTCCACAGAAATGCCCCTGAGGGCAGCGGGAGGTGGATGAGCAAAGATGTCAAGATCAGTGAACTTTTATTTGTTTTCTATATTACAATTTCAAAAAATAAAATTTTGTTTGAGAAAAAGAGAGCACAGAAAATTAGTATTCTGGAGAGACTGAACAAACCCATTTCATATTCTTTCTAGATATTAAAAGAAAGGCCAGCTATCTGCACCTTAGGTGCCATGTCCCTAGAGATGAATCCATTGACTGTTCATAGAGAAACGAAGATCACCTGACTCTCATTTCTACTTCTGTTTGCCCCACTTTTTACATAACAAAACTAAAACATGTTCTTTACTATTTGTTCTCTAAATGATCCTCTCAAATTGTGGATGGCCAGAGTAGGGTTTAGTCTAACTATTCAAGATCATATACTGGACAATAATTGCCTCCAAATTGCAGCTATGGCAGGGGAAAGGAGAACTGCAGGGTGGCTCTGATCACTCACCTGATCACTAGATGAAGGGATGGGTACGTCTGAGCCCTGCCGTCTATGGTGGTGGGCCACCCTGGCCATGATCACAGGGGAGGTTCGAGGACTGTCTAGTCCAGGATCTGATGGTACCGAATTCCGATTCATCAATGACTAAAGAACAGAGAATTCTGTGAGAAGGAACCTCATCCAGAACACTGTCAGGTGATAATCATGCTTGCACTATACTGCACCCTTGTTCACATATCACCTCATTCAATCCTCGAAATTAACCTTGAAGTACATACTATTGTTTGTCCCACTTATTACATAACAAAACTAAGACCTGGAAAGATTATGAGTCTTGATCAAGGTCAAAGAACTTATAATGTATTCCCTGGATTCAATATAGGCAGTCTCAACCCACAGCCCACACACTTCATCACCAACTATGTCCTCTCTCACATCTTTGCTCATAGATTACTTAGGACTACTCCTCCTGCCACTTTTTTGGTGACCTTCCCACATACTGGTCCTTCCACATATATTCATCATCTTCCTACCAACAGGGAAAGTAATAATGAAGTAAACTTTTATTATCTGAAATTAGGCTATTAACATGCTTTGAACTACTTATTCACACATTTAGTTAATCTGCCTGAGTAAATACTTTGCTGTCACCATTACTTCTTCTTGCTTACTTTTACAATATGAGTTTTCACTTACAGCTTATGTATGCAAACTGAGAAGAGATAACCTTTGAGTTTAACCTGAAATTCTTTGTCACTCCAAAAATAATGAGCCATTCAAGCAGAAAAAGCAGCGGCATAGAAAGAAATTTAGGCTGGGTTCATTAATCTAGAGGATTATTCCTAGCCAGGTAGAAAAGTGTTTTTGGTCACATCACTGCTTTAGATAATTTATGTCTTGCTCCTTTTCTCTCAAAAATGTGCTATAGTTAATGAAACAGGAGGACATCTTTTCTGCTACTCCATCTTCTTTTTAATAGGACAGAGTTGACTATGATAAAATACAAGCCAGATCTAACGATCTGGCATCTTGGAAACACTTGAAACCCCCTTTTTTGGAACCCAGAGCACAGTGACTAAAATCCTTAGTACTGGAGCTGTAGAAGAGATACCCAGACGAAGGGCTAGAGGCCTCGGTGTGGCCCGTGAGTAGCAAAGCCTTCAGGGGCCCAAGGCAGGGACAGCAAATGCAGTTCTAAATAGGCCATACTGCTGCTGGCACTCACCTCACTGAGGGAGGGGAAGCGCTCTGTTCCAGAGTCCAAGCCACTGTCTGCCTCCTGGGAATCCAGAGAGAGACGACCTGGGAAGAAAAGAGTGGAGGCAGTAGGAAGGGGCTCTGCCCTGGTTACAAGGAACCTTTATTCTGGGCACCTGTGCACAGGGCACGCAGGGCAAGCGCCCCCTTCCTTCCTTTTGCCAGTTTTCCTTTGGTCTCTCACATCATGACCCCCAGGTTCTCCCAGCACACCTTTTCCACTAGCTTTCACCTACCTCTGCACCTGTGCTCAGGACCTGTCACCTCCTAGAGTAAGACTGCAGCTCTCTCTCATAACTAGTCCTATCAACTCGTTCCCAGCCCTCTCTGGTCACCGTCCCTTTCACAAGTATTAGTTGAGCTCCTAAGTGTTGGGGAGCCGTTAAGCAACTGTTCGGACCACAGTGTTCTCAATATTTCCCTGGTTCCAATGCTATTGCATTTCTACCGCATGCACTGCCCTGGGTATGGGTACTACTTTCTCTCCTTATGCTGCTTTCCAGAGGACAGGTACTATGCATTTCTTGCCCTGAAGCTGCTTTGTGGGGAGGAGACAATAGATCAGAAACCTGTACTATATGTGAGAGAAAAAAGGTGTGATGGGGGAACTCACCTTCTGATGGTCTCTGGCTGGTGTCACCACAGGGTGGAAGTATGTCCTAAAAGAGAAAGGCCCAGAGGGTGGGAAAATTCTGTGAGCCTCTCCCCCTCCTGATTCCCTCCAATCAGAATCATATTTGCTTATAGTTTGGCTACTTCTGCTTCATTACCTCAACAATGCCAGGCTGGAAGAGATACTGCTTCATTTGCAGTCTGAGAGGATAGTGACCCCTAATGGTGGGAAGGAGCTTTACCATTACTAAAAAGCAAAAATCTCTCTTCCGGGCTGGAGTTGTGGCTCAGAGGTAGAGCTCTCGCTTGGCATGCGTGAGGCATGGGGTTCGATCCTCGCACCACATAAAAAAACAAAATAAAGGTACTGTGTCCATCAACAACTAAGAAATAGTTTTTTAAAAATAGATTAAAAAAAAAAAAAACTCCCTTCATTTATTACTCTAGACCTCAAAGGACCTGTTCCCTTACTTGGGTTGGATACAGGAAAGAACTTCCTGTTGAGTACTATAAAATGCTCAAGCAGGGACTGAGGGAAGACATGAAAAGTTTGAGTTTGCTGAGGACTGACAGCATCTGTTGGCCTGGGACTGAATGCCCCAGAAGCTGTGGACAGTGCTTCACAATTTACAAAGCACTTTTCTGACTGCATCTTTTACCAACCCTTGATTGCTAATCCCATGTTATAAATAAGGAAAACAGCTCAGATCTTTAGCAACTTGCCCAAGCTATACTGCAGGACAGCTCTAAAGCTAAGGCTGGATCTCAGACTTCCAGATCCCAAGCTCAGTATCTCAGACTCATCACCCCACAAGCACAGTGACACGAACAGTGGCAGTAAACAGGCACTGGCCCCCGTGATAAGGCAGACTTCCCTTCTGACAATACCCAATTAGGTGGATACTATTGTATCTCCATTTTATAAATGAGGAGACTGAGGCTCCTAGGGATTATGTAATTTGCCCAAGAGTCTCAAAAGCTAATGGGAATGAGAGCTGGGATTTGAATCAAGATAATCTAAATCTACAACCTTCAGAAAAAGAACACTTTGAATATTTCTGCTTGTTTCCCAAACTTTTCTGATCTAGATATTCCAAAAAAGAAAGTAGATAAGCCTTACATTTCTATTGGTTTTGGCAAATACTGTTCTTTGATACCTTAAAGTTTCTAAAGAATTACTTGTTATTTACAGAGAACTGAGGCTTAGTGGAGATGAGACAGACACTAACAGTGAAGCCCCAGACAAGAACAGATGAAGGATCATCCCTCTGGAATGTTCCCGAGTGTGGTGAGCTGCTGATACAGATCCCTCTCAACTGAATGTGGATCGTTTATGTAGGCTGACATTAAAAGGGACTTGTATTTCTTTGAGAAGACCCATTACTTGAAGGACTGGTGGTAGAAAAGCTGCCAGATGAATACTGAGGAAAACCAAGGTGACCTACATTAGCCATGAGGAAGCTACCGAGGTTCATCTGGGGCTTCCTGCTATCTGACGACCTTTTGAAACTCACAGCCATCACATGGGATGGTTGTGAGAAGGGAAGGGAAGGAAAATTAGGAGACTATGGAGTCAATAGTCTGATTTATTTCATTTCTTTCTTTTCATTCTTGGCGGGCAAGAAACTGGCTTTTTCTTTATATGGTATCCCAAGTGCTGGGAAAGAGTTCAGCCTCTCTGGTGCTAAATAAAGATCGGCTAGCTGACTTTTGATTGTTTATAAGATACTAAACACTTACTAGCTCAGCCTTCAGATCCTGCCGTGACTCAGGAGGGCCTTGTGCCCTTGCTTTCTCCCTGGTTCTAATCCAGCCCAACTGCATGGTGCCTGTTCTAGAGCTATGCCTACCATCACTCACCACTAAGCCACCAGTCTCCTGCTGGATCTTCAGCTGTAACTGAGACACACGCCGCCGGGCACCTTCGATTTGCTCTTCCAGCAGGCTGGCGGGGTTCCGGCTATACACCTCACAGATACGCTGGCGAGGGAGGAGGAGGAGGAGGAGGAGGAGGAGGAGGAGGAGGGGAAAAGGCAGAGGGCCGGTTAGTAGAGAATGGATGACTCACCAGTGGGGAAAACAGGCAGTTATCCCAAAACAAGGAGGAAAGAGAAGAGGTCTCTGCTTTCTAGTAGGTGCTCATTATTTCACCATCATTTAGGATCAGAAAAAGCGGGGTGCAATGAGAAACAGAACACATGAGGCAGCTAGAGACAGGAGACAAAATACCAAGGCCTGCCCTATCTGACCCATTCTTCAAGGCCTGGCTGGAGTCCCTCCCGCTTCCTAAGTGAAGACTCCATCACTTAGGACTCCACCTCAAATGTGAAGTCCTGAAGTGACTGTCCAGATCATTATATAGTAAAGTGCTAAAGAGAATACCTCCACACAACGAGAGCCCCAGGGGAGGAGAAGCAGCGGCCTGGCCAAGCAGTCAATATCCCTGCGCCGTCCCCAGGAAGCTCCTGGACAGCAGAAGCCACCAGCCCTCACTCTGCTCTCCTCACAGTACGCAGCAGAAGGGAGCACAGGGGTCGAGGAAGACCTGCCTCTAAAATCGAGTCTCCACGGAGGGCTGTGCAGACTCGGACACACTTGAATACATCCTCATCAATAAAATGGAGATGACAGTACCGCCTCGTGGGATGGTGGTGAGATCTGAATGAGGTCATGTAAAGTGCTTAGCAGGATATCTGGTGCATATTACACACCAGAATACATGGCAGCTATTAATATTTTACTTCAAAAGGAGATACTTGACAAACTTTGCTGGTGAAAGAAATAAAGATGTTGTGTTTACATATCAGCTAGATTCATCTGGGGATTCCTGCTACCTGACAACCTTTTGAAATTCACATTTAATGTTTCTTCTTTTCCATGCCCATCAAGCCCCAACCTCAGTGCCAGCAGATAACATATTTGGTAAGAACTTTCCCAACTCACTCCACTTCAAAACACCTGTAGCCGTCTCTCCTCCTGCCTCAGCAGAGAAACCGTCTGAATCTTACAGAGCGGATCCCTCTGACTACGGGTACTATCTGGATACTTTTCACTTATCTTCAAAGTCTTCTTTTTCCAGGGGCTTATTCCCTTCATCCTATAAAAATGTTCAAGTTCCCTGACTTAAAAACACCATAATAAAATCCTTTCTACCAGCGCAGATTCTTCTTCAAGCCACGGCCTCATTTTTCTCCTTTCTTTCATAACCAAATGTTTCGGAACAGCACCCTACACTCAGAGTCCCTGTTCTTTACATCCCAGTCATTCCTCAGCATATATAACCTGGTGTCTGCCTGTTAGCTCAGTGACGTCATATTAGAGGCTGGTGCAATGGACCAAAGAAATACGTAAGCTCCCCAACCGTCCCTGGCTCTCCTTTTCTTTCTGCATTGGCACCCTGGGTGGTCTCACCCAGACCCCAGTTTCAATGATCACCTTTATACTGAGCATCTCTATTCCAGCTTTATCCCCGTTCACCTCCCTATACCTGAAGGACAGTAGTTATCTGAATGTCTCTTGGACACCCCCAATTCAGCAAACCCAAAGCTGACCTTCACTTTTTCCTGTGAAGGTCTCTTCCTCTCTGCCCTTTTACTCCACCGACAGCACCAGCCAGGCACCCACACTGTGGCCATTTTTCATTCTTTCCTCCCTTACCAACTGGTAAGTTCCACTGATCTGATTTCTGAGATGTTTCCCTTCCCTATTCCCTTCTTTTTGTTCTGACTCCTACTGTTTCTTGTTGAATATGTCATCATCTTTTTATCTACAACAGTCTCCTATGTCAATCTACTTCACACATGCCTCTGGAGAACACTGGTTTGAAAATGTGACAAGTCCCCTACTTAAATTCCTTCAATCAAACTTCAAGCTCCTCAAGATATTTAAGGCCCAAATCACTTTCCAATCTCTATACCCACTGCCATTTTTCATTTTTCTAATTATAGCAGACTGAACCCAACACAAGCATCACTTCATGAGGCTTCCTGATAACTGTATAAACCATTATTGCTTCTTTTGGGCAGTTGTAGTATTTTTTAAATTTATTAAAAATTGTCACTGAGATCATTCATTTAAGACTCATTATCTTTAAGTGTATACAAGTCAGTGGTTTTTAGTATATACTCATGCAGCTGTGCAACCATGTTCCACCTAATTCCAGAACAGTTCCATCACCCCAATAAGAAAGCTGTACCTATAAGCAGTCATTGCCAGCTTCCCCCTTTTGCTACTAAACTACTTTCTGTTTCTATCAATTTGCCTATTCTTGACATTCCAAGTAAATGGAGTCAAAAAATTTGTGGACTTTTGCCTGGCTTCTTTCAGTTAGCGTGTTTTCAGGGTTCTCTGCTTTATAGCATGTATCAGTACTTACTCATTTTTATGGACAAATTACATGTATTGTGTGGTTTGAAAATGTGACAATTTTGCTTATCCACCAGCTGAGAGACTTTCTACTTTTTGGCTGTCATGAATGTTCACATACAAGCTTTTGTGTGAACATATTTTTTGGGGTAGTTACCTAGGAGAGGAATTGCTGGATCATATAGTATCTCTGTGTTTAACATTTTAAAGATTTATCTAACTCTTCTAGTGTGGCTGTACCATTTTATATTCCTACCATCAATGGTAGAAAGAGATTAGTGAATATTTAGATAAAATAAAAACAAGTATTTCTTAGATTTGTCCACATCTTTACCAACAATTGTCATTTGTTATAACCATCCTAATTGTTGTGAAGTAGTATCTTGCTGTCATTTTGATCAGGGTCCCTGTATAACTAACAACGTTGAGCATCTCTTCCAATGCTTACTGGCTATTTGTATTTGTATTTTTTTCCCCCCGCAGCGCTGGAAATGGGGCCTTCTGCATGCTAGGAAGTACTCTGCCACTTGGCCACACCCTTAGTCCTTAGTCTGTTTATTCAAATCCTTTGCCATCTGTGTTGTCTTTTTATTGTTGGGGTATGAGTACTTTGCATATTCTGGTAATTAGACCCTCATCAGATATACAATTTGTAAAAATTCCTTCTATTCTGAGAGCTGTCCTTTTACTTTTTTGATGAAACCTGATGATATTTTTGGAATTATTTTTGCTTTTGGTGTCATTTCAAAGAAATCAATGTCTAATCCAAGATCATGGATATTTATACCTAAGTTTTATTAAGAGTTTTACAGTTTTTAAAAACAGCTTTAGTTCTGACATTTATGTCTTTGATCCACTGAATTAAATTTTGTTAATTTGTGAAGTAATAAGGGTCTAGATTTCTAGATTTATATGTGTGTGTGTGTGTGTGTGTGTTTGTGACTGAGGATTACCTGATTTTCCCCAGTTCTAATGTTCCCTTATTTTAGTTTGCATGCCATGTTACTTAATTGTATTTAGTCTTCACATTCACTATTCTTATCTGTTATCCAAAGAATTCTATTATCCCATTTATTTTATTGGTCAAATTCTGCTTTATCAGATCCTACTGGCCAATGCCAGGTCCTGAAGTTGTCCGCTGGGGTTTTAACTGTGATGGGATATGGTCTGCACGCTGAAGTTGCTCTGGTGTTGTAGTATTTCATTAAGGCCATGGCCAGTCTACCTTTAGCAGTGACCTCACCTGTAACTCTTTTTCCTCTTGCCTCAGCATATTCCTGAGGATCTGGGTGGCATGTTTTTGAACTTCAGGATCCTAGGAAAGGAAAATATAACTGTAGTGAAAGTTGGGGGTTACCTCAATGCTAATTCTCTTATATCTGCTGATTCTTGGGCAAGGAAAAGGTATAAGAGTAAAGTCAAGGTCATAAGTGGAATTTGTGTAACATTCAGTATCTTGCTGGAATGCAGGAAACATAAAACCTTATTTTGTTTTTTTCTTGAGCTTCCTAGAAGCCTTGCCCATCATCACCTTTGGTATCAAACTGCTCTCTAACTTCTCCAGGGACTTGCTGGCTCTGTCTTCTTTCCAAAGAGAAAATCCTGTTCCTTATACCTATTTGCATCCTATCCTCTTTTATGCCTTTGCACAGGCTTTACTACTCTGAAGGATCTCATCCGTTTTTATCCTTTTCTGACTCTCCCTCTACTGACTGAATTCCGTATCTCACTTCTCCAGGAAGCCATGCTCCTACTCCTTGACTTAGTAGCATAGTCTCCCGATGCTAACCACAACGGTCCCTAAGCAATGCTTTCTGCCCATCCCTAGTGAGGAGAAGCACTCTCAGAGGGCCTCTGGAGGGCCTTCCACAGGTTTAGGGAACACAATGAATGTTACTGTCTCATATTCATTTACATGGGAGGGTATGGAGGCATGAAGCACCCTGTCATGCAACCCTCATGTTTATTTAACTCTTTGATGCTGTTTATATGTCTTTTGGCTTGTCTCTGCTTACTACAACCCCAGTCAACTTGGTCCCCAATGGAGAGCTCTTCAAAAGGACCACAGAGTGCGGAGGAATCAGGAGGATCATTACCTGCAGAGGTTTGGGTCCTGTGATGCGCTGTGGAGGTGGCAGAGGTGGAGGTGGAGGTGGTGGGATCACAGGGATGACTCGGGGAGCTCCTGTCAGGAATGGTTCCTGTTGGAGCCCAGAGACACTAACAGATGAAGGTGAAGAGCCCAGGAGGGTCAGTGCCACATAGGCGCCAGCTGGAGGAGAACAGAGAGGCTTGCTCGAGCTGTGCTGTCCTGGACAGTCGACATTCACGATACAGGAGGGATTCTTTTTTCATTAAGCTCATAATCCTGTGGATTATGTTCTCCTCACTTTTAAGGCCCCAATCATTCTCCAATTCCTGCTTTTCTACCCTGCATCAACCTAGTTCCACTTCCTTACCTTCCTTCATGCAGAGACCTCAACCAGAATTTCAACCACAATTATTTGGGATATTTAGTGAAATGTTCCCTTACCTTACTAAATTAAGTAGCCAGTGCAAAGCCCAAGCACACTGCCTGCTTGGCACATGGAAGGTCCTCAAGTTCTAGCCCTCCACTTCCCAGACTCCTCACATCCTTTAATTCTTTCCTCAGCACTTGCTGCTTCTATTTAATTACCCATGCAGACTCAACTGTTGGATCTTCCTGGCTATAAACTACTTTTGACCCTGCTCCCTAAAGAAGAATTAGATGAGGAAGAATGCAAATGAGAGAGAGGACAGAGACCTGGTCTCAGTAGGACATGGCCTAAACAAGAGTGGCAAAGACGGGCGGTAAAAATGAAGATGTTTGATGAGAAACATCTCTACTTGAAGTAACAGGGCTCTGTGCCTGAAGGGCCATGTAGATCACACCAGATGGAATTTCGGCAGCCTCAACATCTACCAAAGAAGCCGTCTGGATCAGTAGGCCTTCTCTTTCCTCCCTCTCGTCCACCTGGCCTCTACTTCTTTAGTTGTCACCCCTCTCCAACTCACATTTAATAAGCTTTACCACCTCCAGGTGTGAGCTGTTGGTCACCATGGTGCCGTTGACCTGTTGAAGGGACAAATATATTATGTAATAGTGAGAGAAACTAGGGGCTTCTAAGATCAAAATGCCTCTTTAGGAAGTCATTTTCCAATGCTCCTTATTTACATCTGGTCACTTGTTTATTACTCTCATTCACATTATGAATTTGTTCTATTCACATGTGCCAAGTGTTTGCATCCCCTGCCAGCCTATGAGTTTTCATCAACAAGACCTGTCTTCATTTTTTCAGTCATTTTATTTTTTATTTTTTGGAGAAGGGGGTTAGCTCATCCAACAGTTTGCCTCACACATGTGTATGCCAACTGGCCCCAAGTGCTGTCTCTTTACTAGAGGATTGGGAGTCTCTGCCTCTAGGATTTACTTAATGCGTACAGGACTCCATTTTGCAGGCAGCAGATCTGAATGGATAAGGCAGATGAAGTAGTTTAGAATAGGCCAGGCAGGACCTCAGGCCAGCACAGCATGGAGGACAGTTTATTAAGCTGAGAGTCTGAAGGCTTTAATCTTACTCTTATCATCTCTGAAATGGGGATAATAAAACCTATTCTAGAAGTGTGGTTGCTTGGGTCCAGAACATGGAACCCAGCTCTCTTTTTGCTTTCTCTCACTACACTACTATGCTCCCTCCATGGTGCCACCCCTAACTCAGGGTCTGATTGACAGTTGGTATGGAAATGGAAGTTTGCAGGACCAGCCAGGGCCAGAACAGCCTCTGCACACCTGCCTCCTCTCCTGGGGGTGGGTGTCAGGGCCACTCACTTTGATGATCCGGTCGCCCTCTTTCACACCAGCTTTCATGGCTGCACCTCCTGTAAGGAGAAGGCCTGGTCAGCAAAACCCCACAATCCTCCCCAGAGACCACTGACTCTACACTAAAGTCCCTGTGCAATTTCCTCCTCTCTGAAAGAAATTTCATTTCATTTCAATGTGTGAAGCACCTCCAGTCTGGGCAGACACCGCATGCTGCCCCAGTGACAAAGGACTTTTGTTTTGGTACTGGGGATTGATCCCAGGGGAGATTTACCACTGAGTTACATCCCTAGTCCTTATTTATTTTATTTTCATATTTTGAGACAGTATCTTGCTAAGTTGCTGAAGCTGGCCTCACACTTGCCATCCTCCTGCCCTAGCCTCTTGAGTCTCTGGGATTACAGGTGTGTGCCACTGTGTCTGGCTAAGGACTTTTAAGTTGAAGTGAACTATATAAGGTCACATCTGCTGCTCTTCCCTCCACCTAGATCAGAAGCCTGACTTCTGACAACCAGTCAAGGTAGGAGATAAGCAGGGCCAGGTTCTGGGAAGAGTATGTGTCTAGATATGTTCAAAGATCTTGGGGTTGGGAGGGAGAGCAAGGGAGGAAGATTACCTCTAGATAGGGAATAGGGGTGGAGGGAAAGGAGGGAGAAGGGGAATAGCATGGATGGTAAAAGGACTCCCTCATCATTATACAAAATACATGTATGAAGATGTGAATTTGGTGTCAACATACCTTATATATAATCAGAGATATGATAAATTATGGTATAATGGTGTATTAAGAGTTGTAATGCAAAAATAAATAAATTAATTTAAAAAAGATCAGATAAAAGTTATTTCTTATTATCCAGTGGGAAAAAATGAGTTTACTGAAATAAAGTATAATTAGTAAAATAATCATAATTATTAGGAATATGGAGAAAAGAATAAATGCAAGAGTTTCAAACAGATAGTTCCTAAGTTCTGAGAGGCTCAAAACAAGTTTTAAACTATTTATAGTTTAAAATGGACCAGATTAAGGTCTTCTGATGATGGATGACTAAGAGACACTCAGAAGACTGTGCTATTGACCTTTGCAGATTATCACTTAACTGGAGGCAGCAGTGGTTTTGACCACTTCATAGTTTAAAATGCCTTATATTCCTGGCTTAATTTATACCCAGGAAGTACTTACACTCCTGAAACAAGTTAATGCCAAAACAAGTAAATGAGGAACATAAAAATTATATTTTACAAATTTGCCCCAAGATGATCATTAAATCTGTATGTTGTATTCATCCAATCAAAAGAAAACTCCCACAAAACACATCTAGATGTTTCTAGTACATACAGAAAAAAATATAGCAATGACTATATTCCAATTTGGCTTTTCATTATGGGCCTCAGACTCCCCTCATCTAAAATGTGCTATTTATGGAAGAGTACTTACAAATAACTTGGAATTCTTATACAGTCATGTAGAAATGAAAGCCGGGGAGGAAAGAGCTATCTCACCTAAATACATAAAACACATGAGGTAACTCTAATAACTCAGTGATTTTAAAAAAAAGAAACTGAACTCTTTAAATAATATGAGCAAAAATTCTCAAACTTCAGTGAGCACAAGAATCACCAGGGGAATTTGTTAATGAGTATATCCTTGGCTCTCCTGCCAGAAAGTATTTCGTACTTCTGGGGTTGAGCCTAGGAATAGGGATTTCAATTATTCTAGGGCTTTGGTGATTCTGATGTAGGCAGAACACAGAGACAGGAAGTGAGCTAAAAAACCTACTATCTGGAAAAGAAAACAACCAACTGCTTTATTACTCTTGTGATTTTAATGCTAATCCAAACGAAGCCAGTCAGTCTGTCTGTCTCTTCCCTAAAACACATACATACCCAGGTGTATACACACACATACATTCTAAAACTCATTCTTTATTGCAAATCATTTTTCTGTCTTTTTTTTTTTTTTTTTTCCTCTCTCTAGGTCTGATTCTGTCCAGCCTAAGAGGAGGAGAGAAAACATAAAACAAAAAACCAAGGAGAAGTGCACCGACACTTCACCGGAGGGGTATCATTTCTGTATCTAGTAAGACTGCATAAGCAAAATTCAAGTTATTGGCAGTTCCACTAGCTCTGTCCTATCCTAGTCCAGGAACCCTTAAAAACACAGGAAGGAAGGAATAAAACTATCTTTTCAGAGCTTTACCCTAGGTATGAAAAACACATCCCCCATGGATCAAAGTTAGCTCCTGGGTGTAAGAAGCTGTAATTATGCGCATCCTTGTATGGTCCACAGATTGTATCTCCTTTTAGTCATACTTTTGAAATTCTCTTTTCCTTTTTCTTATAAACACATCAAGTCTTTCTCCAAAATTACTACAAGTATATTTTCCCTTCCCCTTTTATGCCTAGGGTGAAATGCCAGCCTGCTTCCTACCCTTTCCTGGATTCTCCCATAAGCCAAGCCTACAATGCTTCATGTGACCAACTCAGTCCCATTTGCCACACTGAAGTTCACCCCTTTTAGGGATACTTGTTTTATGCTCTCCCATACACCTTCCTTTCTCTCTTCTTCAACCTGGGTCAACTAACAATGATTCCATTACTTGGTATATGAAAGAGCTTTGACTCTTTACAGTTCTTCTATATGCAAAGGTCATGTGATTGAGGCGTTCCCTACTCTGCACTCCCTTCCTGCCAAATTCCTGTCTTGCTGATCTGTTTTTCATTTCTGTCATTCAAACAACTCCTGAAATCCTGTTTTTCTTAAAAGGGCTTCCCCAAGATCAGAAGGGATATGATTTATGCCTTGAACTACAAAGTATCCAAACTTCTAAATACCACTCATCTGATATAAAGCCTGACATAAATCATTTATCTTTCGGTAATGCATTACTTAATAATAACCGATTACAAATGTAAAATGTTTGGACAGTGTGCCTGTCTCCAATTGCAAACCTCTATAGAAAGTGACTACCTGTGGCCATCTATCCAGGTGCTGTGGTGCATACCTGTAATCTCAGCTACTAGGGAGGTTGAGGCAGATCTTAAGTTTGAGGCCAGCCTGGGAAACTTAGTGAGACCCTGTTTTAAAATAAAAACTATAAAGGGCTGGAGATATAAATCAGAGGTAGAGTGCCAAGTGGGTTTAATCTCTAGTCTCACATACACATACACACAAAAGGGGGTGGTGAGGGTCTAGGGATGTAGCTCCATGGCAGAGTCTTGCCTAGCATCCAAGAGGCCCTGGGTTCAATCCCCAGTATAGCAAGGAAAAAAGAAAAAAAAAAAAAAAAAGAAAGAAAAAGTTAAAGTGACTACCCATGCACTTAGCCAGGTATGGTGAAGGTAAGTATGAAAGGCCTTTGATGCCTCCATGGCAACTTCTGAGCCAGTATGAGGGGCTCTCGTTGATAGCAACCAGGCATTTGCCTGGTGACTGAGGGCTGTTCCATTGATTTGGCACTTCCCAGCTGGGGAAGCAGGCATGTAGTGTGATCCTGGGAAATTCGGCCTTGTGGCTTGGTATTGTGGAGAGTTCTCCAGATGTCTCTGGGGAGCCAGTTCTCACTTCACTCATGCCTCCCAGGGCTCCCTGAAGCACACATTCTCCAAGTCATGCAGCACTGTCACATATGTGAAGCCTTCTAAGAACTGCCCACCATGAGCAGGAAAGATGCTGTACTCACCAGGCCGCACAGATTGCACCAGAACAATGCGATCCCCACTGACTGTGAAGCCGAAGCCATGCTGGTCCTTTTGGATGATGACACAGCGTTGAACAAGACCTGGTAGAAGTGAGAGAGAGAAAAGGGTGGGGCAGGCAGCATCATAAGAAGGCTGTTACCTACAGCCAAGGCCAGCCCAGGAACGACCCAGGCATGTCTTCCTTCAAGAGTCTTCCCCGCCCCCCCCACCCCCAGGATCCTGAGATTCATCCTGTCGTGACACACTACTACAGTAACAGGCCTCGCTCCGTGACTGGCAAAACCTGAAATCCACTTTTGTCTTTCATACAAGAAATGGTCCTTCCCTGAGGTGTTATGATGTGTGTCTCTCTTCTACATATCTGTTCCTTTTGGGTTTGTCTGGGTGATACTAGCTGAAGAACAGGGAAGGGCCAAGTCTAGCCAATGTCCCAAAGACTAACACTACAAATAAGCAGCTCTGCTGGGTGGACTGGAAATCTTATGTCAAGTTACACCCAATGAATGGAGCAGGTAGGTCACAAGTGCTTACTGACTGTTTTTGCAGAGCTGGATAACTCACACAGGTGACTCAGGGCCAGCCCCTTGCCAAATCCAGAGAAGGATAAATAACAGGAAAAAAAAAAAAAAAAAACAACACCTTTTATTCACATAAACATCCAAGTACAGAACTTAAAAAAAAAAAAGGAAGAAACCAAGGCTATGCCTACCAATTTTCTCCATCCATGTGACTGTGTGATAGATACCACACATGTGTGACTATTTTTGTAGTGATTCAAGCATGGGTTCTAGAGCTAAAATGGTACTGGTTTCAAGTCCTGATTCTGTTCCCAACTAGCTTGTGCAGTTGGGTAAGTTTCTTGATTTCTCTGTGCCTCAGCTCCCTTATGTTTAAATAAGGATAATAAAACCTATTTTCTAGGGTCAAGGAGGCAATTTATATAAATCTGTAACACAATGCCTGGTGCACATCATGTGCTCAACATAAAGACTAAGGTGTTGTACATTTGAAGTATACAGATGCTGTGTACCTCTATGTCTATGGGCTAAGGGCCGAGAAGGTACCTGTTGTCTCTGAGGTGTCAGAGGGCTGGCGGTGGTGGGAAGGGGACTTGCGCTCAGGTGCGGAATCTCCCAGAGCAGACAGGCTACTTAACCTGGAGAAGGAGCAAGGAAAGCACATCAGTGAGTTGGGCAGGGAGGGACCAGCAGAAGGAGGCTCTTTAAAGGGCCCTGAGTCTTCAACAAGGAGAGACCAACCCACCCACGTTTAATCTGCTCAATCTGGGTTAGCCATGTCTACACTGCTGGCCACATCACCTATGTGGAATCTCCTGGCCTAGCAGGGCAAGCGTGATCTCTTTAAGACTCAGCAGGGCGTGAAAGGAAACAACCCTTCATGGAGTCAGGTGACAAGAAGACAATGGCAAGAAGGGGATGTGCACACATACACGTCCTTATGGGGTCTTACCAGGCTGCAATGGGGCTGATGGAGCAGCAGAGAGAATGAATGCGAGAAAAAGACAGGAAAAAACAAATAGCTAGTTAGTGTTAAGCGATGATTTGCAAAGAAAAGGGAGACTGAGGGGAAGGACATGGCGGGTCAGACACATGCAGAGCCGTCACGGACACAGCAGAGCCACAATGGCTGTAGCAGACACAAGCTCCCATTTCAGTCCCACCTCTCTGTCCCTCAAGGTTCCACCTCTCCAAAATGGCAGTGTCCAGGAGGGTGACTCGGCATTTAGTACTAACCTACTGGGTAACTGGCCTCTGGCACACTTTTTATTTGGGGGGCTCCACGGGAGAACAGCAATCTGGTTTGGTTTTGGTAGTGATTTCCAACCATAGCCAGCCTGAGGTGCCTGCTTAGAAACTATCTGTGACTACAGATGACCAGGTCAGATTCATTCTTTCATCTCTTCTTTACTCACGACCCTGACAGGAACAGAGGAAATCACTGTCGTGGCCCTCCTTTTTTTAGATAAGTGTGCAAGTTGGCAGTTTATCAATCAATAGTTGCTGCCTCTCTGAAGAGGGCAATTCCTATCCTAGCTAAGTAATGACTAAGTAGAAGTTTATTCATGGAAGCATTGTTTATAATCGTGAAACACTGGAAATCATCTAGATGTTCAAAATGGGTGACTAGTTAATGCATTATTTTATATAAATAAAACAATGATACAGAACTTGGACATATAAAATAATAAGAAGGTACTTTATATAACACAATAAGGAATGATCTTGGGGATATGTTATTGCAGGGGAAAAAGTAAAGATATTATCAACAGTAAATAATAGAGAAAAGAAATTATTTGCTTATATATTTGCGTATGTATGTAAAATACTTAACATCTTGGAAGGCTACAAAAGAAACAACGTTGGTTGCTTCTGAGGAGAGAAAGTGGGTGGCTGGGCATGAGGATGGGACTGGAGATTTATCATTATATTCTCTTTTATACTCTTTAAATTCAAACCATGTGAAGACAACATCTATTTAAAAACCAAATAAATATATTTTAAATATAAAGGGGGGACACCCCCCACATAGTGGCACCCCTCTTACCTGGACAGGTGAGACTGCTTTTTACTGGCTGATCTTTGGATCAGAGAGAGTAGGACATCAAGGAAGAAGAGAGCGTGGGGCCCGGAAGATAGCAATGCAGGAAAGAAGGGAGAAAGAGAAAGAAAACAAAACGAACATAAACCAGACAAGACACTGGAGATGCTGGTTCAAAAGAGAAACCACACTACAGCTAAGAAGGACCCGCCTATGGAAACCACCCCAGCACAGCAGTGAGCTCACTGAGATACAAATCTACTCATGTCATGTTGCTGCTTAAAATCTTAGAGCTTCCCATGTACTCAGAAGAAAGGTTGTCCTGTCCCAAGCCAGGCTGTCACCAAAGCACGTAACAGAAAGCATGGCCTGCAGCTGGTTAGGTGCCCCTCTGGTATCTCCCCAAACTCCCATCCCTAGGCATCTTACAGCACCAACGCCTAAGGGCAACTCTTTTCCACTTTTCTAGAAAGCTGCCGAATCCAGGCTGGAAGGTCTGTGAAGGCAGAGATGGTCTTGTCCACAGTGTGCCTACGCTTGACACAGCTGTGTTCCTATTTTTGGTCCCTGCTCTTTACCTGCTTCTTTAACTTGGGATGGTTTCTGGCTTTGCCCACACTGGTCCTTCCTCCTACTCTATCCCCCACAAGCCAGAAAAGGTAAACTTGCCAAAACTTCAAGTTCTTTCTTTAAAATTATCCCATTCCATCATTCATGGTCCACCTCCTGTCTAGGGTAAAGATTCGACTTCACACATCATTTAACAGAGGTTCTCTTATGTTCTAGATTCTAGACCTGTACTCATGCAATAAGCTACAAATCACACATAGCTATTTAAAATTTAATTTTAAAGGTTGGGGCTGCAGCTCAGTGGTAGAACACTGCCTGGCACATGTGAGACCCTGGGTTTGAGCCTCAGTACCACATAAAAAATAAATTAATAAACAAAGAATTGTGTGTCTACAACTAAAAAATATTTTTTAAAAATTAAAATTGTTGGTTGGGCTGGAGTTGGAGCTCAGTGGTAGAGTGCTTGCCCAGGACACGTGAGATGCTGGGTTCAATCCTCCTCAGTACCACATGAAGTAAATAAATAAAGGTATGGTGTCTGTCTACAACTAAAAAAAATTAAAATTGTTTTTCTGAGTTATTAGTCTCAGTGGCTTACGAGCTCCACGTGGCTAGTGGCGGTCACCTGGACAGTGCAGAACAGAACACACCCCATCACGGCAGATGGAGATGGAGACCTTTGTTCCACACAGTGTCAGACAATGGGGACCCGGGCAAGAAGATTCAGAAAACATGCAGAACTAGTGACTAGCACCCCCAACCAGAAAGGGACTCACAGAAGGGAGTTTTTTGTTCCAATGTTCATTTGCTGTTTTCAGTAGAACTCGCAATGCCCCACCCCTGGGTTACCTACTCTGGGCTTGTTTCTCCTCACCACATGCAGAGAAAACCCATTTTACCTTGGGACATCTCACTCATGCCTCTGACTTATGATGGCCTTCATTCCTTCTCTCTACCCATCTCCTAGTGTCTTTCAAGACCCTGGAAAAATGGCATTGATTCTATGAAGCAATACCTTACCCGCTTCCACTGTGAAAAATTTCAAACCACACGAAGTTGAAGGAGAAACATGATGAATGTGCTCTTCATCTAGATCCACCAATTAACATTTATAACATTTGCTTTATCTTTCTTTTTTTTTTTTTTGTAATTTTTTTTTTAGTTTTCGGTGGATACAACATCTTTATTTTATCTGTATGTGGTGCTGTGGATCGAACCCAGTGCCCCGCGCATGGCAGGCGAGCGCTCTACCACTTGAGCCACATCCCCAGCCCCTGCTTTATCTTTCTACTAATATTCATTTATTCCCCATTTGAAAGTTGCGGAGAGAGAGATCATGACACTTATGCCTGTAATCCCAGTGACTTAGGAGGCTGAAGCAGGAGGATGGCAAACTTGAGGACAGCCTCAGCACCTTAGCAAGACCCTGTTCCAAAGCAAAAAATAAAATAAATAAAATAAAAACAAAAAGATCTATATGGCTCAGTGATAAAGTGCCCCTGGGTTTAATCCCTAGAGAGAGAGAGTGGTAGGGGGGCGGGCAATCATGACACTGTATGTCTATTTTACTATCTATCTATCTATATCCTAAAAACCTTGAAATTATCCTATATAACCACAATGCCAATCAGTATACTCAACAAATTTAACTTTGATACACTATTACCTAACATACAGTACACACTCAAAACTTCCCCAATGGTCTCATCAATGTTCTTTATAACCGTTCTCCAACTGTCTCAATCCAGGATCCAATCAATGATCTCAAATTATATTTGTCAAGTCTTTATTAGATCTATTTAATCTGGCCTTCCCCTTCACATCCCTGTTTTCTTGGTCTCTCATAACAATGACATTTTGAAGAATCCAGGCCAGCTACATTGTTGAATGACCCACAAATAGGGGTTTGTCTAATGTCTCCTCCTGATTATACTCAAGTTAGACATTATTGAAGACTATTCATAAGTGATATTATATGGATTGCTCCATTGCTGATGTGAAGTTTGATTACTTCGGTGCTCCTGTGATTTCTCAATGTAAGTCTATTTTCCCATTTGAATTAATGAGAAATCCATGGGGTGATATTTTGAGACTACATGATTATCCTGCTTTCCAATAGTCTTTTTCAATAGTTTGACTATCTACTGATGACCTGTCTTGAACCACTTATTGCACTGGTGGCTGCAAAATGGCAAATTTGCTAATTCTATCATTCCTTCTACAGCAGGTAATCTTCATTCCTTTCCTAGAGTAGTGTCATGAACTCAATAGATTTTGTTTTCTCTCCCAAAGTAATACATTATAGCCCATTATCCCCCCACCCCTTTTTAAATGTTAAAAATGTCCCAATTTGGCCAGTGGGAGCTCCTGCAAACCAACCAGCATTTGTGTTCTCCATCTGTCTTTGATCATGTCCTTGCTCTCTGGCACAAAAAGATACTCCAGGTTCACCTTGTACTTTCCCTATGCCAGACCTGGTAACAAACATTTCTCTATGGAGCCCTGGTTCCTTTTAGCAGGAAATGTATTCAGAAACAAAATCTGGCAGCTAGGTGCTCATTGCTAGTGAGCCATCACTCTTTCTAGGCTACTTCACTGTCCTTTTTTCAGAATCTTGTTCCCAAACAATATCAATATATTTACTCATTTGCTCTATTCTACAATATAGACAAGATGGTTTCTGGAATTGTTACACAAATACCACTAGCAACAATTAAACCTACTAAGTTCAAGGTTTCCTTCTGTTCTTTTTGCTCTTAGGTTATATCTCACTACAAGTTAATATGTTATAAAAATTAATTTGGATTAATTCTTTTTTTTTTTAGAAAGCAGTAAGGATCTTTATTGTCCAAACAAAAGATCATAACAGAAGACACAAATAAATTAGTTGTTCTGACAATTTCAGACTTCAGGGATTCTCTATAAGGTCAGCTTCTTATGTAAACAAAAATCCTAATCAAAACAAAAATGGCAAGTATCTGAGACAGTGTTCAAGACAAATGTACAAAGTGATGAGAAATAAAAATGCAGTTTCTAAGATATGTTGCATAAAGATATGAGGCTCATTTTGGTGAAAAATGCTTTTCTTCTTATTTTGAATACTTCCACCTCCCCTCCAAAAAGTTAAGCTCTGACCTACACAAAGAAACTGAAATAACTGACATTAATTTCACATGAATTTTGTTTACTCTAAAAGTTTACTATCCCAGGGTGGGGAGGGCAGGGGGGTATATAGGCTCAATGATGGTAGAGCACTTGCTTGAACGTGCAAGACCCTGGATTCAATTCCCAGAACCACAAAATATATAAATCTCAAATCAATAGACTTAATTTTCTTATTTTAGGAAGTTTAAACCAAATTGGAGTTAAACTAATCTTAAAGTGCAAGAAAGGATATGCAAGACTAGTGTTTATTCTGTGACATGTAAATGAGAAGCATCCCTCCAGCAGCAGCAGCTCAAGAGGTACCAAGAAGCATGAAGAACTGGTTACAGGACAAAGCAATCCATTAGACTGACCAAAAAGCAAGGAGACCAGTTTTAGCCTAGAAAACAGGGATACCTTCGAAGTCTGGCTGTAAACTGTACTCAGACCTTAAACAGGTCTCAGGTCCCCCTACCTGACCTGGAGCACAGCATCAGTGGAGTCAAAAAGGCCAAACTTGTCAGCGGACACCTCTACAACATGGTGTGCTTATGCTGATAGTGGTTAAAAAGAAGCCTAGGTTTTGGAATGGCATAAACATTTACCTAGTAAGCAATGATCAAAGTCCTGGTCTGGGGTAAATGATACAAGAAAGGGTAATGAAGACCGCCCCCAAAAATCACTGCTGAGATTTTTTAGTTTGACTCTAAAACACTACAAAATGGTTTCTTCCACACAAGGACAAGCTTTGCAGAATTCATTATGTCTCCACCTCTAGCCTCGGTTTGTTTGTTTGTTTTAATATACCATTCCTATGTCAGAGCGAAGGTAAAAGGGGAATAAAGGATAAGAAACCCTCTGTCCCAAGTCCTTGGAATAGACGCACTCTAGAAGCCAGCGGGTGTGAGCACATTCAAGTCACGCGGTTTGAGATTATGGGTCTGTGGCAGTGGTTTCTTCCCTTCTATCACTGGGACATCCACTTTGGGTGGCTTGAAGGTTGCTGGATCTCCAGCCACTCGGGTGGCCTGGGCATGGATCAGCTCCATGGGAGAGGGCTTCTGGGCGCCTTTGTAGGCCTGGATGGCAAAACCTCCAGAATCAGACTTCTGAAGGGGTCTTGGACCAAAAAGACTCCATTTATCTGATGAGTTTCTGTCCGTATCTCCACTTCCAGGATCCATGGAGCTAGGACTTGGGCCAGGTAAGGCTACAGAGGAACCAGAAGAAAACCAGCCTCCGGCCTCTGCTTAGGGGAAGAGTGAGGGCTGCTGCTTGGGGTGACTGGGCGATGCAGGCTGCTTCTCTTCCTTTGTCCTCTCTCCACTCTGCAGCTTTAGCTTGTGGGGTGCTTCTGCTAGTCAGAGGTACTTGGTTTCCTCGGAGGTAAGGCCCTTGTGGGGTGTGTAGCCAGAATCTCTCAGTCCTGCCTGTTGTTCAAAACGCTGAATACTCTCCTGTGTCTGTTTTGTGATCAGAAAATTCATGACGACATGGGTAGCTTTGGCCTTTACCATCAGGACCTTGTCCGTACTGTCAGTGACTGTTGACAGGGTCATGGCAGGGGGGATACATTGGCCTCTCCTTCCTCCTCCTCTGCAAGGCGCTGATACTTGTGCTCTGGAATCCCTGGCTTCCAGGGGATGCTGCCCATGTCTGATGGAGGAGGAGTCATGGGTGCAGGGTCCTCAAGGGCATCATCATAGCTGAATGCCCGACGGCACATTCCGATGGGCAGGGACATCTTGCCTAGGCGCAAGTAACAGGTACTTCTGGTTGTCTTGAAGCCACTGATAGACTGGGATCCAGGTGTTTTTTCAATTTATAATTTGGAGCTGAGTCCCTGCCACCACAGTGAAATGATATCACCACTATGCTGACAGACAGTAGAATGAGGAACATTGTCCAGGTGCTGCAAATTAGTAAAGCTTCCCAGGAAGAGTCCGTCCAGAGATTCTGTTCTCCCACTGTGTCCAAGCTGCCTGTGGCCCCAACTCCAGCACTAAAGAGGATCTGAAGACCCGCTTCTCTCAAGAGGTTGTGGCGCAGTCCAGACCCAAGCCATCGTGAGAGCGGCAGCAAATTCGACTGCTGGCACCACCAACTAGAGAGCTCAAGTGGCCGTGCGAACCGGCAGCCTTGATGTTGAAGCCTTCAGATTAATTCTTTTTTATGTTACCAATTTGAAACATTTATTTTTATATTTTACTTAATTTTAGTACTTAATTTTTTACTTTAATTTTACCTTTTTCAGGCTTATTTAATTTCTTTTTTTTTATTTATTTTTTTTTTATTGTTGGCTGTTCAAAACATTACATAGTTCTTGATATATCATATTTCACACTTTGATTCAAGTGGGTTATGAGCTCCCATTTTTACCCCATATACAGATTGCAGAATTACATCAGTTACACATCCATTGATTTACATATTGCCATACTAGTGTCTGTTGTGTTCTGCTGCCTTTCCTATTCTCTACTATCCCCCCTCCCCTCCCCTCCCCTCCCCTCT